TATAACAAGTTTGGGCTTCTTCAGGGTCCGAACTGAAAAGGTCCAAACGTGTTAAATCAGCTTTATGTTTGGTATAAAAACAGGATTTATCAAAGGTAAATGGACTGAACTTATGAAGGGCCTTGCTGGTCATGTTGATCACTCAAAGTGCTTCACACTACAATTGCATTTACACACTGACATGCATGTTGGGGGGCAGTGTGCTGCTCAGTGCCCTACCCCAGGGCAACTCAACATGTGGCTGAGGAAGCTGGAATTGAACTCACAACCTTCTGGTCACAAGAAGACCATCTACCCACAGAGCCACAGCCGCCCTGAAAAATCCTTTTGCTAATCTGTTTTAAAATTGGGACTTAAACAGCATAACGAGCTACAATTCAGTGCAATTCAATACAAAAAGTGAGTAGAAAAGGCAAAACTAAAGGACAAACCATAAAAGCACAAGTACAGTGAAAATAAACAGAAATCATTATAATTACAAGAATAATTTAAATTCTTAAGTCAATACGTTGCTATAAAAATTGAGCTGTGTGTCGTGGCATCGAGCCGTCTGCCGCTAGAACAGCGAAGGGAAAAGGGCGAAACGGTTCATTCAATCTGGACTTTCTTAAACTGTTTTGGGGGCAATTTACAGTGACCAACTGACCTGACCGACATGTTTTGGGAGATGTGGGGGGAACCGGAGCACCCGAAGAAAACCCACGCAACACAGGGAGAACATGCAAACTCCACACAGATCATCTCTGTGAAGGCGCAGCGCTAACTGCTGCACCACCGTGCTGGCCACGTTTTTTTACAATTGGGCTGGGAAGAGATCTTTTTTCTAGTTTGTCAATTTTGGGGGAAACTTTGACTTTTCAAATTTGCTCTTGACGGAGCGTTGCACGGGCCCCCCATTCACAGACGCTACAACCTCCGTGGGTTTGATTCCTGTCCTCGGTTCCTCTCTTGCATGTCTTTCTGCTTCTCTAATATCTAAATCATTCTTAGGCCTGATCTTGACTGTCTTGACTCTTTTGTTTTCTTTTTGGTTTCTTCAATCGCAATGTGTTCCGAATTCTTTTCCAAATTGAAATTTTGGATTTTTTCTTTTTACCATCCTGGATGGTTTCAGTATTATCCAAATCCTCCAGGATGGTTTCTGCAGCAATCTCAGTTTCTTCCTCAGATTCCGTATCCGAGGAACAACCTGGCAAGGTTTCTCCTGAGAGATCCTCCTCTGAGGAAACCTCCTGTCTTAAACCTTCGACCATGTCGTCTGGGCTCTGCAAGTTTTCCTCCTTCTCTTGGAAATCTTCCTTCTCAGCTCTCAGAGTTTCAGGCACCAGTAGGTCTTCTTTTGCTCTTTCCATCTCTTCCATACAACTCATCTCCTGCTGGTATTTGTCTACCTGTTGTTTCAGAGCAGTGACTTCTTTTTCACACCGGCAGGTAAGCTCCTGGTACAAAGCTTTGAACTTCTCCAACTCAGCCTGGGCGTCTCTTTCCTTCTCTTGCAGGAATTGAATCTCTTTGGCTGTGTTGTCAAGGAGGACGGCATTCGTTGCTCTCATGTTGTTGATCAGCGCCACGTCCTCCTTCAACTTCTGCAGATGAGCTTTTCTCTGCTGAATCATCTGGAGCTCAAGTTTTTCTACTTGCTGGTGCAGCGCAGTGGAAAACCTGCGCTGTAACTCACGGATAATCTTGTCTTTCTTCTCTTTGTTTGCAAGAGCCGTTTCCTCCTTCTTTGTCTTCTCCAGGAATGTTTCGAGCTGCTGCTGTAATTCCATGATGTCTTTGTTATACCTACCATTTAGCTCATCGTATGAAACATGAACCCGATCAAGATCATTTAGCAGCAGCTTCTCCGTCTTTTGCGTAACTGTGAGCTCTCTCGACATTTTTTGGAGGAGCTCCTTCTTCTCAGCTCTCAGATTGTTGATGAGCTCCAGATTCTCATTTGCTCTTTTTAAGTTGACGTCTTTCTCTTGGTTCACCTGCTGCCGATATGTTTCCATGTCTTGTTTGAGCCCAGAAACTTCGCTTTTATGCTTGCAAATGAGATCATTGTACGAACGTTTGATCTGATCCAGTTCTTCCTTCAAAAGTTTCTCATTGTCTTGCAGGGATGTGATCTTTTCTGACATTTCTTGAAACATTTGGTCCTTCTCGGCTCTCATATTGTTGATGAGCTGTAGATTCGCATTCGCTCTCTCTAAGTTGGCGTCTTTCTCATAGTTCACCTGCTGCCGATATACTTCCATGTCTTGTTTGAGCCCTGAAACTTCGCTTTTATGCTTGCAAATGAGATCATTGTACGAACGTTTGATCTGATTCAAGTCTTCCTTCAAAAGTTTCTCATTGTCTTGCAGGAAAGCGATGTTTTTTTGACATTTCTTGAGACATTTGGTCCTTTTCAGCTCTCATACTCTCCAGGAGCCATCATTGCTCACTAAGCCTCTCTTCACAAAGCTTGTGTCTCGGCCTCCTGCCTCACCTGAGAAACATCAGCTTCATACTGAGAGCCCAGCTCCTTGTAGGAAGTCTGCAGTCTGTCCAATTCTTCTTTGAGGTCGTTACTTTTCTCTCTCTCAGCCAGTATTTGAGCTACAAATGATTCCTGGTTGAGGAGTTGGACCATCTTTAGCTCACTCGTGGAGTGATGGGGCCCCATCACTCCACTCTGGTATTTCGGTGTACGATGAAACATTTTCTCCGAAATACAATCACTAAAATCGTCGTAAACTACCTGAACGGTCGATTCGAAAGAGCTTTGCGAATGTCTGAACGGGTCAGTGATATTGCAAGCAATGAAAGATTTGCAGATTTGCGTTACATCAAGTAACGCTGAGACAGCAGTCACTTGAACCCAAATGTTTTTGGCCAATTTTGAGAAAAAATGTTGATAAACTCAGAAAAATGCAGGGATCTGTTGATTTTTGTGTGAATTTTGCGGTTATTTGTGAAAACCTGGAGAGGCCTATTTCTATAATTTGGAGTCTAGAGGGCCACATAAAAGCTATGGCGGACCAGATTTGGCCCTCTGGCCTCGAGTTTGACACATGCACCATATCTGATAATCTCAGTAATTTTTTTTCAATATCTATACATTAGGAAGTAAATTTAGCTTGTTTAGTCAAACATTTATTTTCTTTTGCATAGTGGAAAAAGAGAGTGGGAAAGAAAATCTATAATAAATGCAAACATGAAAAAGTAAAAGATAAAAACTCTAACTATTGATTTCTAAATTGGTTAGGATTGATTAAGCCTCGTTTTTAATATCAGGCTTAAGACTCAGAAATTGTAAATGAGTAATAGTTGTAATGTACTAGGATTCGAAAAGGTTAAAGTATTGCAGTGTTTCCCCCAGAAAACCTGCTAAGCCTGGTGGTCGGAGTCAGTCATTTTAAAGGACAGTCAGCCATCTTGGAGGACAGTCAGTCATTTAGACTACAGTCAGTCTGACCTGGTTGTCCTGCTGTCCCGCAGAGCAGTGGCGATGTACTCAGACAGCCTCTTCTCCATGAGGGCGACTCTCATCCAGGCTCGACCCTGAAAGCATCAAATGGAAACACGGCTACAGTTTACACCCACACTGCTATGGTGCTAGCTGCTATGCTGCTAACTGCTATGGTGCTATGCTACGCTGCTAGCTATGTTCCTCGCTAACAGACAGATACTCTGGACAGATATCTGTCCAGAGTCATTTTTGTGACTCACTTTCGCTCGAGATGTGTTGATGTTTTCCATGCTTTCAATGCTGCTGATGCAGCTATTGGGGACTTTAGCACATGCCAGGCGGATGTAGTCCCAGTAACTCCTCTGACCGTCAAACCAGCTACTAGAGCCTGGAAAATAAAAACATTTTAACAACAGAAATTATATTTAGGTTTAAAACAGCATAACTGCCTGTAGGCTGTCAAAATAACAGCAATAATTTGGGTCATTTGGTCTGTAATAAAGTATTTTCTTGCTAACTAAATAGCATGCTAACTAGACTAAATTTAGTCTATTTAGCCTAGACATTAAATATTTAGTTTTCCAAGTAAAAATATCTTGCTAGCTTGCTAATAAAATGTCTAATTTGGATTAAAGTATCGAGCTGGTAAATTAAAACTTTCGCTAAATTAAAACTTTTTCTCTAAACTAAATATTTAGCTTGCTAGCTAAAGGTTTAGTTTGGAGCTAAATATTCAGTTGCTAAGCTAAATATTTAGTTGGTAAACACAATACTTATCTTGCTAACTAAATGCTTAGCTAAACAACTGAATATTTAGGTCCTAGCTGAATACTTTGCTCCACACTAATTATTTAGTTTGCCTTCTAAGTATTTAGCTTCAAACAAGACTAAATATTTTGTTTAAATCTAAATAGTTGCTAAGCTAAATATTTAGGTGGTAAATTAAATATTTAGCTAAATGTGTAGTTTACACCTTAACACTTAGCTAGCAAGCTAAATACTTTGGAAATAAATATTCTGTTGATAAACTAATTATTTAGCTTGCAAAATTAAATTAACCCATATTTTTTTTAAATATTTTTTTTTACTCTCATTACAGTCTAAATAATCCAAATTATTGCTATTAATTTTTAACTGTAACTTTTATAAATGGCGCATCATAACCACAAACCAGTTAAATTTAAATCCGGGTAACTTAATGATTGTTAAGGAACAATCCAGCGTCTCATTACTTTGGTTTTCAACCTGAAGTTGGGCTGTGATATACTGGTCTACCTTTAAAACGGTGGCTGAGGATGTGTTCAAGGACTGCTGCAAAATTGATGAACTCTTCGGATGAATCATCGATGGGCTCGGCGGTGTATTTCTCTAGCAGAGTCTTAACGGAAAACCTGCGTGGGAGAGAAATAAGAAAAAAGTGACCAGGGAAAATGGATTTTCCAACAGGAAACTTAACGAATCAAAACATGGCAGCACTTTACTGGTAAAAATGTTAAAACCTAACATTATCTCAGCGCTTCTTAAAAATATTTAGAATTTCTACGTGATATTTAGGACCAGATTTGTCTCTAAGTGGGAAGAAAATGGAGATGAAATGATTTAACCCTCCATGTTGTTATAATACACTCTGGTGACTACTGAGAGCATCACCGCTGATGGATCTTCCTTTTCGTAATCCGGCCTGATGTCATCCACTTCCTGCGAAGAAAACCTGGTCATGTCGACTTTCAGGAAGCTCAAACAAAGACTTTACTGAGGAGCTTTTATGTAACAGACATCTGTTCACATTTTAAAGGTTAATTCTCGAAAAGATTTTTTCAGCAAATATAGATGCTCTCCAAAAATGTCTCCTTCATAGTAGTAACCTTTTTTTAAATGTACTTTTAGGAGTATTTTTACTAAACTGTACTTTTTACTTTTTCTTATGAAGTATCTCTTCTGTACTCTTATTTGAGTAAAATGTGTGGATTTTTTACACACTGAATAAAAAAGAAGCATGATTTAACCAAGTATTCACCAGACACAGACCTGCAGTTTTTGTTAAAGCTTCAAAAGTTTTTTCTTGAAAAAAAAATGATTAGGAAACATTTTCTTTTGCCTTATTTTGTTATATTTTTTTACTTATATGAATTCTTGTCATTTTGGTCTTTAAAATAAAATTTAACAAAATGCTGTCATTGCATTAATGAATTTAGTACAATAATAGCATTTTATTAAATGTTTTGTGCTTTTCTGCAACAGAATAAAGACTATTTTGAAACAATTTTCAATTTCAGCAAATAAATCGAAGTTAAACTAATCTGTTTTGTATAACTTTAAACCACAGAGTCTGTCCATTTTCACACGTCGATAAGACAAAGCTTAACTTAAAGCGATTTCAGCCTCCATTGTTCCCAAAACAACAATGTCTCATTCAGTTTGGGTTGGACAATAACTGGACGACTGTCCTCAAAGCGAGGACATTAGCATCGCGGTCGCAGCAGCACAGAAAGCAGGACAAATTATTCTCCACTTCACGGTATGAAAGAATCTGAAAATGAGCCCAAAAAGTTTCTAACACAGACATTTAACTGGAGACAACCTGCTAATTCTGCAACTATAAAAATCATAGAAATAGGTTTTCAATCTGCAAAAGTATTTATTTTTTTTCTTATTCTATTTTATTTTAAATATTAATATTTTTATCATGCTACCTTGGCAGAGGTGGGTAGAGTATCCAAAAATTGTACTCAAGTAAGAATAAAAAAGCATTTGGTAAAAAATCTACTCAAGAACTAAGTAATTGATCAAATTATTGACAATTTAATATTAAATTACATCATCAGAGGGACCAAAAAAAAAAAGTTTTTGGGAAATTTTGGTATTTTAAAGACCAAAATGACAATAATTCATATAAATAATAAAAAATAACAAGCAATTTAATATTTTTCATTCAGTGGGTAGAAAATGTAACGAGTTACTACTTAACTTTAGCTTGGTGTTTTGGGGGCTGCTGGAGGTGTAGCTGCTTAACTTGCATTGCCTATGGCTGGCCCTGCCTCATAATGTGATTATGCCTCAGTCCCTGGGGCGCCAGGAAGCTCATGGCAACCAGATCACCAGAGTTCACAGAAATAAACTGCAATTCATCCCGCAGAACCTTCACATGTCCTCCCTTTGGTTACATTTATTATAAATTCATATTAACACAACAGAAAAGGGAATATTAATAACAGTAATCCATTTAATGTAACTGACCTGCAGACCGTGAGGAGGTTCTTCCTCTCCACCGCTACGTTTCGAGCCGACACCCTCTTCGACACTTCTCCCATCGCCATCGCTGCCTGCACATATCCGGGCTCCATGCGGAGGAAAAAGCCCCGGGATGGAGGGACCCCTCCCTGTCGGCCGCGCGCGGCTCCTCCGCGGTCACTGCCGGCGGAGGATGCTGAGGCTGACGGGCCGCATCATCACGTCCGCCGTCCGGCTCCAGCAGCGCGACTGCGTGTTTCTGAGGCAGCGGGAAGGAAGCAAAAGCCCGAAACTCTTCGGATCATCAGATGATTAGGGTTTATTATGATTCCTGCGTTTAGAGGACTCAAAAGCGCCCGTGTCGTCTCGCGATTTCTCCCCCTAAATGGTGACTTCATCGTGACGTAAGCGGGGGTGCGTCATCTTCAATCATACCGACGGACATGACGTATTAGCTCCAGCGTTGCCAGTGTTTTGTTTTGTTTTTTTTTCTTTTTGTACATTTTATTTCAACAGATAACATTACATAGAGGATATTTAACACAATGACAAATTTTACAATACAACACTGTAAAAACAAAAAAAAACTATCTAATTTACGATAAAATTCGGCAGCTGTGTGGCCAGAGCTTTTACGCTAAAATTTATACTGGAAATTTTACTGTATTTATTTGATTCGTATTTCTACATATTTTTACCATACTTATATGGTAAAATTCTGGCAACCAAAGAATTTCACCATGGATTTTACCATATTTACACAGTAAAATCCTTACAGGTGGTAAAATTTGTATATGGTAAAATTCTACCAATATTTTACCGAAAATTAGACAATTTTTTTCTTACAGTGTATATTAAAAATAGAGAAACGTGGTACTTTTTATTCCTTGACAATCAGAAAATAACCTCCTTTTTACAGAAATTTTGATTATAGAATTTTATCATTTTCATTTAATTGGCCTCCAGAATGTTTGTTACCTTGAAGAAAAAATATTTGTGATCTCTAATCTGCTACACTTCAGTTTTCTTTAAACTAACTTTCAAAAAGTATTCTTAATTTATTACAGCTAATTTTATTAGTTTTGCCCAGGTTATGATTAAATTATTTTGAATCAGAAAAGCTAATAAAACAAAAATTCTACAGATATTTTTGGTTTTCCTCTTGTACAAACTATTCATCCACTGTAGCTTCGTGTTTATATTTATGTGGCTGCAGCTACATGGAGCTACAGTTCTTAGCACTGTTGCCTAGCAACTGGAAGGTCAAGTTTCCTGACCTTTCTGCGTGGAGTTTGCGCATGCTCTCTCGTGGAGCATACGTGGGCTCGCTCTGGAGGACCCGCCACCCAAAAAGACAGAACCTCTGCGCAATCGACCTATATAGGTATAGCTGTCTGTTTATTTTTCATTAAGGTCTTCTGTATGTATTTTAAATTACTCCTATTTTGTTCTTGCTGTGATGCATCATTCTGTGTGCAAAACTTTGTCAATATACCGCTACTGTCGAAATAACACAATTTCGAAATTACAGTAAAAACAGCTTTAAATAAAAAAATAATAATATTATATATTGATCATTTTGTGTGCTCTTTGAAATTAGAAGTTTTTTTAAAACTGCAATTTCAAAGCATGTTGCTTGGATTGTACCAGGGTTTTATTTTAAGAATATTTTAGATGTGAAGTTTGCCAAAATTGGTTTACGTATTCATCAAGTTAAGTCATTTTACGACACGCTACTTTTGGCGGTTGGTGGTTACCATAGCAACCGGTGACAGTTAACTCCTCCCGCTTTTTCTGTTGCCGCTTGTTTGTTTGTTGCACTAACTCTGCTCTGTTTTTGTCTTTACACGTATTACATCTTAACATATAGCTTAGAGAAACGTAATTATACACAGGGTTTCATGTTGCTGTATGTTTCTTTTTAGCTGTTATCTTAATTAATGTTTTCTATGTCAACCGCTGTCAACTGTTCAGTGGGAGCCTTTGGCTAAATATATAAATCGCGCTGTTTCCACTTGAAGAATAACACAAACATGTGTCTGCTTTGTTGCTCCAGACATTATGATTACATGTTGTTGGTCTGAAAGTTAGTTTCCAGCACAAAAAGGACGATGACGCAATCAGAACCGTCACCACAGCTAGCTTATTTCACCGTTTTCTTTTACTCCTCCCTTTCTCCTTCCTTCTCATTAAATGATTATAAATGCTTATACATGTGGCTGGTGGTGTCACATTTCTTTTTTCCTCTCCAACGAGCTGACAGAGGATTGCCACCATGTCTCTGGTGAGTCTTACAGGAGATTTGTGGGCTTCTTGGTGTTGCTGCAGCAGTAATCACTATGCATCCTTCTGTGCTGATGGTTCTGTGGGATTTTCTCACATACCTCCGTCTTGTGATGACATTTTTCCAGCAGTCATGTGGTGAGAGGCGGAGGTGCACCCTGGAAACGTCACAGGACAAAAACAAAACAACAAGCTCACACTTGAAATAACAAATTAACCTAAATAGAAAGTACAAACACTTTAGTTAAGTAAGAAGTACGGAATAAATAAACAAAAAAGCACTCTAGTAAAAGTACCACTTTAACATTTTTACATGAAAAAGTACAAACGTAAGTTCTTGCATTAAAAAAATAAGTTATGTCCAAATTATGGTATTTTAAAGACTAAAATGAAAAAAACAACACGATTATAAAATAATAATAACACATGCATTAGAAACTAGACCAACAGTACTTGGTAAGATTTGTGTTTTTTGCAGTGGGCACTGCTTAATCTTTTCCAGGTGTTAAAACCACATTTTTAAATGTATTTCATTTGTATTTTGTGTTTTTATTAATGGGAATATGAAAAGTGTGTTTACTCAGCCCTCCTGAGTCAATATTTTCCTAAAAACATTTTAACTATCGTTACATCTGCAGCTTGTTTGAAACCAGAGGAACATTTTCTAAGTCAGGTCAGAGGGAATCTACTTTCAAACATCTGTTTTTAAATCTTTTCAGGCTGGATTTGGAATGGATTATTTTAGTTCATAAATTTGCATTTCATCTATACCAGGGATTATTTAATATTTAATAATAATCAGTAATTATAGCAAAAATAATATAAATACCTTTTAATTTTACTGCAAATGTTGAAAAGTTGCTTCTTTTTAAGCTTTTAAATGAACAAAGATGAGCTGGGTGTCGCAGTACTCTGTTTTTATGACAGAGGGCGCATGAGCTTCCTTGGGAGTTCAATTCACTTCCTCACTTTTCCCAAGTTAAATACTGAAGTGAATTAGACTTTCAATCAAGTCTGTAGTTCATTAGAAACACCACACTTTACTCCAAAAACATTTATTAAATAATCAGGATTTTCTTTTTTTTTTCTTATTACAATTACAACAATAGCGCTTTAGGGCCAGTGTAGATATAAAAAAAAAATAGGAGTAAATTTCTGCCACACACACAAATTTTGAGATTTAGGAATTTATAGGAATTTTTTGAGTTTGAGAAATTTAAAATGTTCTTTCAAAAAACAGAAATCTTGAGATAAAGTTCTCAAAAAATTTTCTAGAAAAACTTAGAAATCTTAAGATTGATCTCAAACATCTGGAAAAAACATGGACATTTCTGACTTCAAAAAACTTTCTAGACAAAACTTGGACATTTCAAACATTGACATTTTTTTTATATTGGAAACTCTTTGCGTTTCCAAAAGCAGAAAAATTTTGGCATTTTAAACCCAGAAATTTTTAGTTTTATCTACAAAATTTCTGAGATTTAAAAAATATTTTTTTCTTCTAGCAAATCTTAGATTTTTCAAGCTCAAATTTTGAAGGTTTTTTTTTTCTAGAAAATTTCAGAGATTAATCTAAAAATATGTTTTTTTTTTCAGCAAATTTTCGACTTTTGAAAGTTAGAAATTTGCGCTTCTACAAAATTTTGTATATAAATCTCGAGATGAAGTTTTCTAGAAAAAAACATTCAGTTTTTTTAGATTTATATCAGAATTTCTGAAGTTTTTCTAGAAAATGTTAGACTTTTTAAACTAAGAAATATCCGAGATCTTTTCTAGAACATTTTTGAGATTAATTTCTGACTTTTTTTTTTCTAGGTTTTCAACTTCCGAAACTCTGAAATTTCTAAGCTTCTTGTACAAAATTTTGGAGATAAATCTTAAAATTTCAGAGTTTTTTCTGGCAAATATTAGAAATTTTAAACTCAGAAATTTCCCAGGTTTTTCTATAAAATCTCCAAGTTTAATCTAAAAACTTTTTTTTCTGAAATTTACTCCTGTTTTGGCCCTGCAACGCCGTCATACAACACAGAGTAAACGTCATACAATATTTACAGATGCAGTCCTTTTGTCTGTTTACCTGGTGAGTCCTGGCGGCTCGTCCTGCAGGCTTCTCACTCAGGCTACAGCTCTCCAAAATAACTCCGGTGTCTGTTGCTCCGAGCCGCGGCCTGAAGGGAATGTGTGAAATTCTGGACGGTGTTGTGAGGGAACTCGGGGCAGAGGTCACACCGGAGGAAGGAATCAGGGGTAAAAAGTGCATCGGCCCTGTGATTCCTGACAGGTTGATAAATAGGACCGTTCTGAGCGCTTGGGCAACAGCAAGGGAGGGAGATTTGTCTAGACACGCCGTCTAGACTCCAAAAAAAAATCCTGAGATGTTGATGGATGGGTTGTTAAAGTAGGAGCTGGAGTTACTGTATGATGTCCTTGTAATAAATACCATGTGGAGGTCTACTTTTGGAAAAGGGAGCGTCGTCGGAAGTACGATTGGACTGAGGGTCCTCCACAGGGGCTTGGAAAACCAAACACAGGCAGATGAGAGCAGGGAGAAGGATCACACTGGAAAATATCCCACTGTTTATACACACAGTGTCCGTGGGTTTCACCAAATCCTCCCCAGCACCACATCTTTCCACAGTTTGCACATGAACCTGCTCAGATTACTCTCACATGAATGAAAAAAAAGCAATATTACAACTCATACGGTGAGAGAAATTAAACGAGGCACCATAAATCAGAACCAGAGAGCTTAAATAACAAAAAATAAACCATGAATGGTGAACATGTTTGTCATCGTTTACCTGCAAAAAACACAAGACTTATCAAGTATTTTTGGTTTATATGTGCAAATATCTTAGTACACTTGAAATAAGACAAAACTAACTTATAAGTAACTTTTCAAATATAGGAGCTTGTTTAAAGTCAGTAATGCCTTAATATTTATGTAAAAGTGTTAGTTCCACTGGCATGTAATTTCACTTATAACAAAACATTTTCCCATGATACTAGTGAAATAATCTGCCAGAGGAAATAGAACTTTTTAATCCATAAAAAGGAATTATTGACTTAAAACAAGCTCCTACATCATGCTGAAAACTTATAAAAATATTCACACCCTACTCTAATTTAGTGCTGAAGAACAACCCATGGATTAGATCAGGAAGAAAATGAGACCTGGTCCAAAAGGTATGAATACTTTTGGAAGGTGTAAACGGGTTGTACTTATATTTTGTTATCATTACACAAAATATCTTTAGTTATTCAGATTGCTCCTGTACCTCACTGTAAACACTTTACAAACCACTGACTGTCATAAGTTTGTGACTTTAAGATCGGGAGCCCCTCCTTATTTCTTCTTCTGTGGTTTTGTTAGTTTGTCCCCTTTATGTTTCATGTACATTTATTTCTAGATTTATTAAGTGCATTTCTCTTGGCACAATTGTAATATATCCATCCTGTAATGTCAATATTTAAGCGAACTTCCGATTATAAAGTCGCAGTTACTGGCTTGAGTTTTGCAGCTCATTGTTTAGATCCGGAAATGTCGCGCATGCGCACAACACTGGAGGGCAAAAAGGTGATTCTTTTACATGTCTTTCATATCCGCGCTGCCGCCGTATAATAATCCGGTTCCCGTTAACAAAATAAAACCTGTAGATGTAGATATTAGTAATTCAGTGCAGTGTCCCGCACAAAAGGGGAAAATAACGCAGAAAACCACTGAAGAACAACTCAAAACTACTCCTATTCTTTTTCTCGCTCTCTGTCGGCTACTCTACGTTGCCATAGCAACTGACAACACCACTTTAAATTTAAGGACTCAACTCCGAAAAAAACACACAAACATTTCCCATACAAAGAACAGAATATTCAGTCGGTTATAGTATCATGTTTTCAAGCTTGATATTTGCTTTGTGATTATTAACAAGTGATCGCTGTGGTAGATTAGCTATCGTAGCTAAGCTAACAGCGGGATTGGTTAGCTGATTTAAACACAGCTCTACTAATGATCTGTCAGAGTTGATGTGTGGGCTGTTTTTCTGTTGTTTTTTTTAGTTAGTAAAAATACATCACATCTACATATTAAGGTTGTCAAAGTCAAACAAGAATAACTGAACTACTCCCTTCAGCGCGTTATATTGATAGTTTAACAGCGAAAACCAAATGCTAGTCATGGTCAGCCAGCAGCTTTTTGCCCTCCAGCAGGGAGATGGCGGTGGGATCTAGAGCTGCAGCAGGTCTATAAACTTTTGTTTTGTGTAGTTATTGGAGTGGGCAGCCCATAATGGGGTTGTATTCGGGGTTTTTTTTTTCTTGCCAGAATAAAAGGACAAGTGAATCCCTCCCTGTAACCATAACGACGACACGGAAAGGATCCAGTTACAAAGCCACTGTGTCCTGCCAAGGACCTGTGAAGATTATAAAATGGTTTCTAGCTCTTTCACAGGTACGGAGCAGTTTGGATCTGCTGCTGCGTTACTGCTGCTGTTATCATGCTCTTTGCTGGCTCTGGACTCGGCCCTCCCTGGCTTCCACACCGCCGCGTCCTGCTGGGAGCCTGAGGCCTCAGCGGTGCTGGGAACGAACACACACACGCTGCTGTGGTTGTGGTGGAGCGACGACGGGGCAGAGTGACGGGGCGGCCTGGCCCCTGACCCCCCAGCGGCCCCTCCTGACCCCGCTGTGAAGGAGAAAGCCCTGGGATGAATGGCGGACATGCAGACGCTGTGGGTGGTGGCGTGGGACATCATGCCGCCGTAGTAGCAGCTCCCGCCGCCGCTGCTCGTCATCCTGGCTTTCTGCTTGAGGTCCAGCACCAAGCTGCGTCTTAACCAGGCCTTTTTTACCTCTGCCTGCACCTGATTTACATCAGAAGACACAAACTCATCTCTTCTGACAGCTGGAAGCTTAATTTAACAAAACTACAACTGAAACGATCAATCGAATTAATCCTGATTAATTGATTGTTGAAATAATCATCAACTGGAGAATACAGACTTACAAATGGACAATTTCTGAAAGAACAGCATTCTTAGAAGAGTAATTAATACAAAACTACAAAATTTAAAACAATAAAAAAGTTGTCTGCACTGCAAAAACAAAACCTTACTAAGCATTTTTTGTATAGTTTCTTAGTATATTTAAAATAAGACAAAACTTAGAAGTAACTTTTCAGCACAATATAGGAACTTGTTTTAAATCAATAGTTCTCCAATACTGCAGAAACATTTGTTGTAAATTAAATAATCTGCCAGTGAAACTAGTACTTTTCATCAATATTAAGGAATTACTGACTAATACTTAGTAAGATTTTGTGTTTTTGCAGTGTATAAATATGTTAAACCCAGAACTCAAGTGGCATAGTTTAGCTTCACCTGGTTCAAATTCTGTTTAAAATATCTCATATTAAGCACATTTTGTTATACAATTTTAAAAAAAAATATACACATCAGCCCAACACTGTTTAGATGTTAAGTCAAATAGAAAAGGTTGAGTTTTTCACATGTTGATGTTAGAAAAATGTTTTGACTTTATTCACTAAAGGAATGCTGTTATTCCTTTAGTTAAGATTGTATAATAAAAGCTTAAATGAAAAATCTGCAGAAAGTGCACATTTTTAATCAATAACTGTAGTTCTTGTTAGTTGCAGCTTTACCTCGCCATTGCAGAAGCAATAGATGAACGCCACAAAAAAACCCTGAAAACACAAATTTTAAGAAGACAATTAGCATAAATAGTTAACTCGTTAACCATGCTGAAACCAGTCAGGTTGGGCTCTGACCTGAGAAGAGTTGAAGAACATCTCATAATGCATCTGCACCTGCCACAGCAGCCCAGTCACCTCGGTGTAGGGCAGGGCCATAAAAACTATGTAGTGGACTCCGAACAGAGGCATCAGGACCAGGGTGGACTTCAGGAGCTTCCTGCAGAAGAGAATACACGGGAGAAATTACCAAGAGAGAATGCTAAAATTCAGCTTTTAGTTTTTGAAATATTTTAACTTTTATGCAAATTTCAGCTCCACCGAAATGCATTCTGATGAATAAATTCCACAAGATTTTGTGCTCTTTGTGCTCACCACTTCTGCCTACTTTAACCTAGAAACTCAGTTCAACTTTTAAATAAGTCACAAGATATTAAGCTATCTTCATGTGATTCAACTTTTTGATCTCTTACGGTTTTTCTAAACTCACGATTTGACTTTTATGTAGATTTTTGCCCGTTTTCACGCTTACAATGTAAACCAATGACGGAATTCTTTAACTGCCAGAGTGCGCCACTCTGGCACTGACACTTTTTCAAACTTTACTGATTTTTTTCACAAACAAAATGCTGCTGTTCGTACAAATTTCACTCTAGAGAAATGATTTATATATCAAAACACAGCCACTGGAGTCTGCTTTGAGGGAATATAAGCATCACTGCTGTAGGCTTTACGGTTTTCTTTAAAACTCCAGGCATGTCACCCCTTCGTCCATTGAGCTCCATATAAAATCTTTTCAGCTTTAACTAGCGAACTAATAGTTTGTTTATTTTCCTTCTAGGAAACTTTCACCTGTACTGCTGCCGAGGATCCAGTTTTCCAGTGTTGGTTTCCCACAGTTTAGAAGCCAGAACACGGATTATGTTTAGGAAAAGGAGGAAATTCACCTGTGTGGGCAGAGGCATAAAGTTATATCATCCTTATATTAAAACCATCAATAAGGCAATTAAAGGTAAAAGTATTCTGATTACAACAATGGCTGCCAGAATGGGAACTTGGTAGATCCACTTCAGGTTTCCGGCGCTGATGTCCCAACATCTGGAAGCAGGAAAGAAGCAACTGTAGTGAACATGATGGAAAAATATGGGCTCAAAAGCCAGAAAATAACAAAATGGCATCTTTTCCTACTATGTAAGATTTGTGTTACAAAGTATTTTTGGTTTAGTTTCTACTGCAAATATCTTTGTTCACATAAAATAAGACAAAACTAACTTACAAGCAACTTTTCAGCAAGATATAGAAGTTTGTTTTACGTTAATAAGACATGTTTTCCCATAAGTGAAAAAATTCAATTACAACATGGAAAAAAAAGTCTTCTTATAAGTAAAATAATCTACCAATGGAACTGGTACTTTTAATCAGGATTAAATAATTACTGACTTAACACAAGCTTCTACATTTTGCTGAAAAGTTATTTTAATTTTGTCTTATTTCAAGTTTACAGAGATATCTTCACTAGAAGCTAGACCAAAAACACTTGGTAAAATTGTATGTTTTTTGCAATATAGATTGTCTTACATTTTTTGTTGTAATCATTTAAAAACAATTATTACATTGTTTTGTAATTCTGTGAAAAATGGTAATTATTTTTTTTCACTATTGATTGGTTATATTTTGATTCCTACAATTTCAATCAGAGTTTCTGCTACTGCAATTAAATATGGGTTGCCAGTAGAGCCAGAAATTGTGGAGGGAGCTGCTTTTATGAGTATAAATATTAAGTTGTATCAGTTAACTCACTGAGTATCTGCCAGCGAAGCTCGGGCGCTGACCCAAATGGACACAAACACAGCAGGAACACCTGGACCAGCAGAAAGACACATTACAGTCAATCCTGATGGAAAGTTTTCATACTTTTTAGCTATTAGTGTAGTAAATACTAACATACTGCCACATTAAAAGGCATTTTCAGTTATGTAAAGTCATAAAACTAATAATAATAAAAACATTATCATCCTCTGATAATTTGATTAATCTCAGATATTTCCTTAAAAAAAAAAACGAGGAAATTTCTGAGTTTGTGAAGTCAAAAATTTGCTAGAAAATAACTAGAGATAACTACATTTTGGGATTAATGTCAGAAATTGGATGGCTACCTTTTACTTTTACTTGAGTAAAAATATGTTAAAGTACTGCTACTATTACCTGAGTATATTTTTTTGGTTACCTTGCCCACCTCTGGACCTGTGCAGCCCGTCTGCCACTTACCCCAGCCCATGATGGTCAGAGCCCACAAGTAGTTCTTGTCAGACAGGAACGCCATGAAGATGAGGCTGTGCAGGTACAATCCCTCCACCAGAATCCAGTAGTGATTGGTTGCCAGGAAGTACAGGAAGAGCGTAACCGCAGCTTTACACCCAGCCTGATGGCATAGAAGCAGCCGTTACCGGAACCAAACCAACCCATTAGTGGAACTTTTGTTTGAACACTGAGGGCTGGTCTACTGGCTTCCATTTTTAGTCAGCCATGGTGCGTGCACTTACACAAATTCCTGCTGAGATCTAAACACAGGATAACTTTGCAAGCCTATCTGAGCATAAAGCCTGGAAAGATATGGATGCATTTAGCCTGACTCCGTCCAGTGAAACAGTGGGGCCCAATATTTGCAACCAGAAAAATAACAATTGTTACTCAGTTTTAAAAGTCATAAAAAAATCCTGATTCTAATTTAAGCTAACATGTCAATTTTTAACACTCACTGTTCCTATGATTTAAACACCTTTTCCCCACCCTATGTTCAATAAATATCTTTACATCATTTAAACTTAGTGTGAACTGTTTAAAAGGGACCCATAATGAACATGTCCCTTTTTTTATTTCCATTTGGGTTCTCAAATGCTTCTAAAAAATGCTCAAGAGCTTTAAAAAAAAATCACCCAGCTGTTTTTTAGTGTCTTGAAAATGAAAGAAAAAAGAAAACCACTCAATTGTTGAGTCACAATCAACTGGCATTCTGCCGTTACCTAGCAACCCCAGTAGAGTTCCGCCCGTTACCTAGCAACCCAAGTGGAGCTCCTGCACAGTTGTTCAGTTGGTTTTACCGCTGTATGCTCAGGACAATGGCTGCTGGAAAAGACAAATGTTTTGTTGTTGATTTACTATGTAGAAACTACTTGCTGTATTCTTGCTGGTTGTGTAGGAGGCTCTAGTTTTGCTTTTCAAAGATTGTGATTGTGCATCTATCTGCAGCCATTTTCAGGTGAGAGTATAAACATTGGTTTTGGGGGACGTGTCCAGCAGCAGCTTATTTGGATTTAAAGTGACAGAGGCCTTAAAAAAGATTCATCTGACTAAAACCTCATTATCTAAGAATGATTTTGTGCAAAAAAATGTAATGAACATCTTTTGTTTAGCCCACAGACATATCCTAACCTGTTCAAGGAAGTATAATAGGTCACCCTTGAACAAACTGTTGTGCTTATGCTTTAAAAAATACTATATGTAGCACAGTAAATGAGGATGTAGAAACAAAAGAAGTTGTGTCTACTTACCATGGGCTGTTTCACAGCTGTGAACTCAGACTCGGCTCTGCTGGCGTCAGATACGGAGTAGAGCACAGCGTCCTTCACAAAGATGCTAACAGCTCGACAGATGAAGGAGGTGAAGAGGTGAATGTGAATGTAATTGCGTGTGCAGTGGAGGCGCCTGGAAAGAGTTTGTGTGACAAAAAGAAAGCATCAAAACATATTTTATCATGTTAAAGGTTAAATTCCTCATTTAAACTTGAAATGGCATAATTTTGGGTTTTCGTACTTGAAATAGCAAAGGATGGAGATCGCCACCAACAAAGATGCCAGAGAAATGGAGTAGCCGATGGTGTACATGAGATGGAGGCGCTGAAACACCTTCTGAAAAGAAAACCAAGCATTTATTACATGTATATCTACGTAAAAATATTATATATAGTGGAAGGACGATGACTATTGGATGCTGTTTGGAAAGTTACAGAAAATTAACAGGAATAATTTCAGTTATTTAGCCTGTCATAAGAGGAAGAAAATGGGTATACATTTTTCAAAGTCATATTTTCACCATTATTTCCTTTATAAATGTCAGTTTCAAACAAAAATAATAATAATTATTAACTAAATATCCAGTTTGGATCTAAATATTTAACTTGAAACCAGAAATTATTTAGCTAATATGAAAATTCACTTATCGACAACCGGAAGTTGACTACCTAAATAAAATCGATTGCAGGCGCTAGTGAGTTGATTTATTCGCTTTAGTTGTTGCTCACGTCACCCTTAATTTTTTTTCTCTCGACTTAAAAATGTTCAGCTTAAACATGAGACACGCCGATTTAACGCCAAAACAGACGTTTAGCAATGGATCTACAGCAACGGTGACTGCGCCAGCTCACCCAGCTTTTATTTTGATAGTCCAATTCCGGTGATCGGCACGTAACTTTCCATTCTAGCTAAATATTTTTGCTAGCTAGCTAAACTTTTAGCTTATTTTGCTTGCCAACTGAATACTTCGAATTATTAAGCTTAAATCTAAATATTTATCTTATAGCTAAACTAAATATTTAACTTGAAACTGTGGCACGTAAATATTTCAATCATTGCTCGGTGAGACAAGCTGAAAGAAGCCAAACAAAGCATGTTGTCACCTCCTCCAGGTTTCTGTGGTTGGAGGTCAGGTATCGGGTGCACTCCGTGTAGTTTGCCCATGTGCGGTTGTTACTGGGCACCAGCTCCCAGTTCCCTGACACGTCACACTGGCGGTAAGCTCGCCCTGATTCACAGGTGCACAGGAGACAGTGACCAACACAAAACAGGCAACACAGTCCCTGCAAACTGCCAGTCCTGCTATTTGTTTTTAAATCAGGCATCTCATGTTTCCTGCATGCTAGGGCCATTGTAAATAAAATGTCTACCAAAAAACTAAGAAATTTTAAGATTAATCTCTGGAATTTTGTAGAAAAATCAAGGACATTTCTGAGCTCCACAAGTTGAACATTTGCTGCTGCAAAAAAAAAAAAAAAAAAATTGAGATTAATGTCAGAAATTTTTGAGAAAAAACAAGAAAATTTCTTAATTCCAAAAGTTGAAAAATTGCTACAAAAAACAAGACAATTTGAGGTTAATGTCAGAAATTTTTGAGAAAACACCATGAAAATCCCTTAGTGGATAAAATTGAAAATGTTTGATTTTTGGACATTTTTCTCTAGAAAATTTTTGAGATTAATCTAAAAATTTCTGAGTTTATTTTGTAACAAATATCCCACTTTTAAAACTGAGAAATTTCCTAGTGTTATCCAGTAAATTTCTGAGGTTTATCTAAAAATAGATTCTGAGTTTTTGTAGAACAGTTTTGACTTTTCAAATTCAGAAATTTACATGTTTTCTATAGAAAATTTCTAAAATTAATCTCAACATTTCTGAGTTTTTCTAGCAATTATTTGACTTTTCAAGCTGAAATTTTCCCTGTTTTTACTAGAAAGTTTCTTAGATTAAGCTCAAAATTTCTGAACTTCTTTTAGGAAATTTCCAAAATTTCTTTGTTTTTTGTATAAAATTATAAGATTAAGTTCAACATTTCAGATTTTTTTCTGGCAAATTTTCAACTTTCCAACTTTCTTTTTATCTATTTTCACATTTCAGAGTTTTTTGTTGGAAACTTTCTCCTATTTTTCCCTCAGCAGACCATCGTAGTTTGTTGGTGTGTTTCTGCTGTGTTACCTCTGTGGTTGAAGTCATAGATGTATGCTGGGCACTGCACTGAGACCAGCTGCCCAGCTCGGCTCCGGGGCCAGCAGATAATCCCATCCCACTCTGGTGAACAGTCCCCGTCTGAAAAATGATGAGAAACAGGATAGCCACATTAGGAAGTAGGAAAAGGTCTGATTATCTTAATGCTAAGTGTTTTCATCTGGTATATCCCCATGGTACAACTGTTTTAATTTCCACATAAACATTTTTTATTCATCGGTCTAATATTAGACAGCAAACCGAGCTGGCAGGGCCTTTGGGGGTTACTGGGTCCTGGACTGAGAGGCTAAAATAAATTCCTGGATAATCAGTTAATCATCTTGGTCTGGTTGTAGGAGCGCTGCAGTAGAAAAATTAAATGTTTCTACCCAATTTAACGGTTGTTTTTTATGCCCTACAGTTATTGGCAGCCTTAGTAAAAATAGTCTAAGAAGATGCAGTTTAGGGAGCTGAAACAAGGTGCAATGCTACAAGACATGAAATTGGTTGAGCAGAAATTAGAAAAACTGTAAATTAGTGTCTAAACTTTTTGCCAAATTCATTAAACTAGAAATGTAATAATGTGGTTATTGTGATTTTTTTTTATCTGCTCAACAATAAACAATATTTTTTATTAAATCTTTATATTATTAAACACCTAAGACATGAAAAAGGTCTTCGGACTGTTGGATAATTAACAGAAAAACTAATATTTGTGAAAGTTTTTGGGTCGTCAATTCTTTTTATAATTCTTGATTTGTGGTAAGAGGCCGATCAAAATCATTTCAAGGGCCACAAAAGGCCCCTGTGCCACACGTTGGACACCCCTGCTGTAGCTGTTAGCTTCTGCATTGGTGCTAAGACGGTTTCCACTGTGCATATTGATACTTATTAGGGTAAATTTGGTGATTGAACCGTTATAATTAATTATAATTCATGGAACTTAGCTAAAATATTAGATATTGATTTCTTTTAACATCATTAGACATAATCATAGTTTATCGTTTAGTTTATCCCAATTAGCAGAGGTTAAAGACATACATGATGCAACAGAAATCATTAAAGTATTTGACAGATTTAGCAAACATTTAAATAAAATTCTTTATAATAGTTCATATAAAATGTTGATAAATGTATAAATTGTACAATAATTAACCATAAAATAAATGTAATTTAATTATTTTTTGCTGTTTGTGCAGCAGATTAAATAACTTGGTTGTGATTTTTGATAATTTAAATTATTTTTTAATGATTTTCATTTTAGTTTTGCTCTCACTGGGGAGATGATTGGGAATCACCTCTTAAATCCAAATTTACTGCTTCTCTGAATTCCTGTTTTCGTCCCCAAAGTTTGTTTTTACGCTGATGATGTTGTGAAATGTTTTTCCAAATAACCATCAGGACATTTCAACAGGAGAGTTTTATTTTCCCGGCCGTTGAGAACTTTCTGTCTTTTCCACCAGGCCACAGCTGCTAATTTTAAGACTTTAATCCTTGGATTTCTGACTTTTTGTAAACGCCTTCTGTGTTTGAGTCACGATCCAGCTGCAAAGTAACGAACTGCTAGCAGCAGCTGCAGAGCGATCCCTGCTTTCCAATCGTTTGGAGCCCGGATTCAGAAATGCCCTCCAGTCAGAAAACCAGATTATTTCTGAGAGCCGGCTGGGAGCCACACAAATTAGATTGTGGAGAAGTTTATCGCAAAACGTCGCCTTGTTTGATTGGTTGCCTCAGCGAATGGTTCACTAATGGGTTCAAAGCGTAAATGACTGTTAAATGAGACTTATTGCTCCTTTTAGAGTAAAATAAACAGAATAAAGCAGCTTGACATGGGTTTAGTCTAAAGTTTGACACTATTAAAGAGTTTAACTCTCATTTACTCTGAATTTATTGTGTTTAAACAGGCAACAGTTTAAAGTGTAAAGTGGATTATGTGCTTTAACATGAAACTGTTGGGACTTCAGCCGACTCAGTTACCTGGATAATGAGGCTTTTTGGAACAGCTGCTGCTTTTCTGCTGTGAAAACTAAAATTAAACTTCATTTAAAATCTGAAATGAACAAAAGTCATAAAAAAAGAGGAAGGTTCAATTTGGAAAGGTGAGGAAATATATCCAGGACTGGAAAAATATGGCATAATAATAATAATTCCAAACTTTATCCATCCATCCATGTTTCTCTCTTGCTGAGTAAAGTTTCCTATTTCCTCTCTAAAAGTCTGTGTTGTTCGGGGGTCTCTGCTTTAGACTGAGAACATTTAGATCTCAAATTAGGAACAACCCTGTAAATCTTTCTACACCAGTACAACTTTGTATAAACTCGCGCTGGGAAGACTGCAGCAGCTACTTAGAGCCACTTTACTCTGACAAAGTTTTCCTCGTGTTGCTCTTCGTCTCAGGAAATCCTCCTCCTAAGGCAACCGTAATTCATCGGCTCTGACACAGCCTCTGCTTTGGAGCCTAAATTAAAATTTTTCCCATTACAATAAATCTGCGCTGCAGCCGCAGATAACCCTCAGGAGGATATTGGTTGGATATTACATCTGATACAGGATAATTAATACAAGCCAGGAGTTGTTGTTCCACATTTAGACGGCAGATATCCCCTAAAAATGAAAACAAGTAGCACACGGACCTTCGACGAGGGCCATTTGTGCGCGGATGCTCCTCTCACACCGGGCGTGTGCACCAATCAGAACAAAGATCTGCTCGTCTCGCGTGATGACGTCATCGGAGTCTATCTGCAACAGACAAGATAACATTAAACCACAAATATCTCTGTTTACCTACATATTTTAATAAATGACAATAAACCGACTTTATTTCAACCTGACAAATTGGTAATTATGTTCAAATGAAGGTAAATTATTTATTTTACTTCTTTCTGTAAAACAGGAAATTTTAAGGTGATCAGTTAAAATCTACACTGCAAAAAAACTCAATCTTACCAAGTATTTTTGGTCTAGTTTCTACTTAAAATATTTTAGTACACTGGAAATAAGACTAAACTAACTAACTTACAAGTAATGTATAAGATATAGGAGCTTGTTTTAAGTAAATAATTCCTTTATATTGATTTTTTAAAAAGAGTACTAGTTCCACTGGCATTTTATTTCACTTATAACATGATGAAAATGTTGTTACATGTGAAATAATCTAAAGCAGATAATTTATTTACTTGTCTACTTTTAAACTTTCAGTTCCTCGTCTGTGTTGAAGTTTCAGTTATTAACTGTTTTGAACTCTTAAGGTAAATGTTTATACTCATGCTCTTATTTTGAAGTTGGTAAAGACTGTTTACAAGCCAATTCTGTTTCCTCACATTCTGTTTCTGATTTCATGAAACTTTGAGAAAATGGCAGGTATGTGTTCAGGATACATCACTTTCATGAAACAGAAATGCAAAAATGTGCATGTATGAATTGTTTTGAGAGCACTAAATCAGCACATTAGGACGTTAGCATTAGCTTCTGCTAATTACCATGTTGGTGCAGCGCTTTAGCGTTAGCAGAATTAATGTTTATGATGGTTAAGGGTTAGCAGTGCTAACCGCTGGTTAAAACCTGGTCTGTGCCGGAGGTGGACAGCGTACCCAAACACTGTGCTCAAGTAAAAGTGGCAATACTTCAACTTTTTTTATTCAAGTAAAAGTAAAAAGTAGTGAAGTAGAGTAAAAAGAAATTGAGCAGTCATTTAACATTTAAAAATTACATTAACAGATGGAAAGAAAAAATGGAGATGGAGTGAAAATTTTGGTATTTTAGGGACAAAATGACAATAATTCATATAATAAAAAATAAAATCAGGCAAAATTATTGTTTTTCAAATCAGATTCTTTTAATAAAAAACTTATGAAACGTTAACAAAAACTGCAGGTGTGTCTGTGTCTGGTGAATGTTTGGTTAAAACATGTTTGTTTTTCATTCAGTGGGTAGAAAATCCAGAAATTACTAAAATAAAAGTAGCGATACTATATAGTAAAATTACTCAAGTAAAAGTAAAAATACTCCTAAAAGTATGTTTTTTGTTTTTTGTTTTTTCAAAAACGTTACTCAAGTAAACGTAACTAGCTGCTACTCAAATCTGGTCTGCACTAAAATCCAGTCAGTCTGAATGAATTGTGTCAAAGTTGGTTAAATATCCAGCTATAATTAACTTACTACTCCCACTTATATTTCTAACTAAATATATCCCACTTATATTTCTAACTAAATATAAGTGGGAGCAGTTTGCATAAATTGTCTTTGTGTGTAGAAGAGAATATCTGGAGTTTTCGATCTTCTGAGAACAAGAAAGGCCTGTGAACACCTTAAGCTCAAACCTTTTGATTTTTCCCACAGCAACAGAGACGTTTCTATTAAAAGTCAGAAGTCTCTTTCCAAGTAAAGCGATCCGTCAAGCTGTTCAAGGAGCTGATGTGCTGCCTCCAGGTGTTGTGAAATTTTTGTGCGAGGGTGCGGTATGTGATGAAGCCCTGCTACCTCGCCTTGCTCAGCGGCAGGGCAGCGGGTCCTCAGCACCGCGGCGGCACCGGTCAGAGCTAAGCTACACAAACAGCTCTGTGTTCCCGGGAACATTTCACAACACAGCAGCAAAACAAGCTGCGAGTCAACCATAGAACAAGAGGTGGCGGAGATGTCAATCAATCTGGCTATCTGGAAGACTGGAGATGGTTATTTTTAGCTTTCTTAAGAGAATAAATATTTTGTTTTTACTTGTAAATTGACTTTTGAAGGGGTACTATTATGTAAAAATTCTCATTCTTTTTCTCAACTGATTCTAAAAACAACTCAAGTACTTAAAGAATCAAAAACACACCCAGACATTTTCAGGAAATAACTTAATGAGCAGTCGAAGTATTCTTCATAAAATCAAGAACATTCATGAGGCTGTCCTGGGAAAACTGAGTGTCTTCAGTCAGAGGCTTCTTCAGATCCAATGTAAAACAGACTGCTACAGGAGAGCTTTCCTGCCAACAGCCATCATTACCTAACTCTGTAAAGAGTTTGAAATAATGAGCTACAACAATGTTTGATTTCCTTTTGGGATCAGTAAAGTTACCTAGCAACCGCGGACATTCTGAAAGGAACTCCAAACAGGCAAAACTGATTCTCTAAGATTGATTTTGTGGGAAAAGAAAGTAATAAATATGTTTTGTATAGCCCCTAAACTTATCCTAACCTCTTTAAGAAAGCGCAATGGGTCATCTTTATGGAAGTTTATAGCTGTAGTTTTAGGCAGTCAGAACTTTTCTGTATTTGGGTTTATGTGTTGGCTGGAGTGAACGATGTGGGCTTTTTCTTTTCACAGCTGCCTTCCTCAGAAGCCAAACAAAATTCTTGTTAAACAGACGAAATCCCAGCTGGACCAGGTCATATAACTTGATATGTGTCAAGTGACACTCTTGGCACAGGCCATAAAAGGTAAGCTAACGGTAGTGAGCTGTGTTTCTCATTCAGAGCGCAGAGTGATGCTGGGGGTTTCTCCTCAAGTCCAGGATGAAGGAAAACCCTTGTTTGTTCTCGGCCAGTAATGGGCACGTTGCATATACGGTGACAACAACTACACTGGAAAAGATAACAAATCTTACCAAGTATTTATGTCTAGTTTCTAGTGAAATTATCTTAGCACTTTTAAAAGAAGAAAAAATGAACTTACAGGTAACGTTTCAACAAGACAGGGGTTTGTTTTAAGTCAATACTTCTTTAATATTGATGTAAAAGTTCTAGTTTAACTTGATATAAGTGAAATAATCTGCAATTTTATCTTAAAACAAGTTACAATTTTGCTGAAAAGTTACTTGTTAGTTCGTTTTGTCTTATTTAAAATGCACAAAGATATTTACACTAGAAACAAGACTAAAATATTTTGTAAGATTGTGTGTTTTTGCAGTGCAGATTACCTTAAACAAAGTATAAATTCAAGATATTACAAATTATTTTTTATCTAGTTCTATTGCAAATATCTTAGTGCACTGGAAATAAGTCAAAACTTAGAAACAAATTCCTTAATACTTATAAAAAGTGCTTACAACAAAATAGTTTTCCCCTCATATAAGTGAAACAATCTGCAATTTGTACTAGTACGTTTTATCAATATTAATAAAATTTGGTTTTAAAACAAATTGTTGAAAAGTTACTTGTAAATTAGTTTTGTCTTAACTCAAGTGTACTAAGATTTTTACACTAGAATCTAGACTAAAATATTTGGCATGATTTTGTATTATCAAAGAATAAATACAAAATATTACAAAGTATTTCTCATCTAGTTATATTGCAAATATATGGAAATAAGACAAAACTAGCTGAGAAGAAACTTTTTCTGTAAGATGGGAACTGACTTTAAGACAAAAAAATCCTCAATCTTGATAAAAATTGCAGATTATTTATAACAAGATGTTTTCTCCATGTTGTAAGTGAAATAATCTGCCAGCGGAACTAGAACTGGGTTGCTAGGTAACAGGCTGAGCTTGGCTGGGGTTGCCAGGTAACGGCGCTAGTGGAACTATTTTCTAAAATCAATATTAAGGGAATATTGACTTAAAACAATCTCCTATATCTTAATGCAAAGTTACTTGTAAGTTAGTTTTGTCTTATTTCAAGTGAACTAAGATATTTGAACTGGAAACCAGACCAAAAATACTTGGTAAGATTTTGTGTTTTTTACAGTGGGAGGTTCTTGCAACACATTTGCCACCATCAAACTTCAACATGCATCGATTTTGTTCTTCAGCAAAAACAATCAACATCAGTAAAAGGAAGCCCTTCACATTTTACTCTTGTACCGAGGGGTTTTGCTCCTGACAGATATTGCATTTAAGCAAAACAATTAGTCTTTACATCCATTCCCTGTTGAGCTGTGAGAGCATTAACCCTCGCGGGACTCATCTTCCAGCCAAGTGATTTTCAGGCTGACTGGTCTTGAGATTGTAACTCTGTCAGCGGGCCGGCACTCCAAATCGACCCGAGGGGAGATTTAGTGATCAAGACACGGAGGTGCATGTAGCCGTGTGCTCACGATCCGGCCAGTGAAAGCTGGAGGATCTGTGACGCAAGAAGCAGCAGACAGGTAATTTCTAGCGGAGAAGATTGAAGGGTTGCAGTTCGGTTGGGTTGCGTCATCGCTTTAAGTGCTGCGTTTTCAGGAGAACAAAGAATCCCGATGAGCCAGGAATGCACTTTCTGAGAGACGCTATCTATAGACGGAGCGGTCGCAGAAACAGAAAGTCCTCCACAGAGCACATCCGACAGTTCGCTTGGAAAGCCGCAGAGGATCTGAAGGAAACATGAAAGAAACCACAGCCTCTCTCACCTCATCAGAGGCTGCGGCGTCTGGCTGTAGTACACTGCAAAAACACTAATTGTACTAAGTATTTTTGGTCTTCTTTAACTGGGTTGCTAGGTAATGGGCTGGGCTTGGCTGGGGTTGCTAGGTAACGGGCTGGGCTTGGCTGAGGTTGCTAGGTAACGGGCTGGGCTTGGCTGGGGTTGCTAGGTAACGGTGCCAGTGGAACTAGCACTTTTTCATCGGAATTGTTGACTTAAAACAAGCTGCTATATCTTGCTGAAGAGTTACATATGTCTTATTTCAAGTGCTATAAGATATTTGCACTAGAAAATAGACCAAAAATGCTTGATAAGATTTTGTGTTTTTTGCAGTGTGTGAGTAAAAATGCCATCCAAAGTCACCCTTAAAGCCATCCTGGGAGAAAGTTTTAAAAATAAACCAAGTATTCTTGGTCTAGTTTCTACTGCAAATATCTTAGTGCACTTGAAATAAGACAAGAGTAACTTTTCAGCAAGATATAGCAGCTTGTTTAAGGCGATAATTACTTAGTCTTGATTAAAATAACTTATAACAAGACTTTTTTTCCATGTTATAAGTGAAATATTCTGCCAGTGGATGTAGTTTGCTGAAAAGTTACTCGTACCACAAACATACTTGGAAAGATTTGTTTTTTACAGTGTAAGGGTAAAAACAGCATCTAAAGACACCCGTAAGCCTTCCTGGTAGAGCAGATAACTTCAGGACTGATAGTGCGGTGGGCCGGGCAAAAGAAAACAGAACAAAGACACTGAATGTGCAAAACAAAAGAAATAAACATTTAATGGTAAAAGTCAGTAAATTAAAGCTGATAAAGAGCAGAGAGTGTAATTAGATTGAAAATCTTAAAATGACGGCTTTTGGAGTGGCTTCCAGCTGAAACCTGGATTATGAAGCAGCATGTGTGTGAAAACGCTTCCCTGCTTGTCCTGCTGAGAACTGAGGCTGTAATAAATCACAGAGATATGACTGCTGATTGTTTTCGTCCCGGCTACATACTTGGACCAACGTACATATTTGGTCATGTTTAAACACATTTTTTCCCTGCTCTGTTATTAACTTTTTAGAGATGTTTGTTGATTTTATCCATTGACTAGTTTAACTTATTATTCCAAGCATTCTGAGGTCCAAATTAAACATTTCTAATGTATTTTTAGCTACTCTGTTTCTGATAATGCTACTTTGTGTGTTTTATTTTGGTCATTTTTTTGTTTTTGTGTGTTTCTAGGTCAAAATTAGGCTTAAATATTCCTATTTTTGTCCCTGTGGGTTGGATTTCCTTAGACTTGAACTTTTTTTTAACTACTTTGAATAATTAATTCAGCTTATTGTTCTGTTTGATAGGAACAATTAGAATATAACTGAATAGAATTATTTCATAAAAAGTGCCTTTAGTTGGCATTTGTTGTGTTATATAAATAAATAATCTTTTTTTTTTTTTACTTAATTTAATCATTTTGTGTTTTAGTTTGATAGTTTTTACATCCACATGTTTCTTTTCACGGTTGATTTGTTGAGTTCTTGTCTGTTGTCAATAAACTGTCTTAAGGCTATATGCATTACATGCCTCTGTTTGTGTCATATTTTACTTTCTGTAATAAAACAGATGTTTTTTTTGTTTTGTTTTTTTGGGTGCGGTTCATGTTTAAGGAACAACGAAACCGTGCAATGGAACCAGAAATTAGCAGCTTTGCAGCTCCGTGTCAGTCCTGCAGAGTCGCTGTTGATAAATCCAGCAGGTTTATCAAAATTGGTTCCAGTTGTTGTTCCTGAAGCTGGCCCCTCTTCACCTCAGGTATTAGATAAGCCTTTATGTTATCATTTAAAAACTATGTTTTGTATTTTCCCACTTTAGAAACCGAACAAAGCCAAAGTTTGCTGCTCTTCTTACATTTTTAGATTGATTTTTTGCAGTATTTTCCTTTAAAATCTATAGAAAACGTAGGAAAGTAAATAAATATCTCTCTTATCAAGGCATTAATATGTTTTTTTTAATGTATTCAGAATTGAAACAATTAGTTTAAGTCACGAATAAGTGAAATGTTCCACCTCTGGGAATACTTTAAAGTTATATTATTCTATAAGAATCAGAACCTGTTTGAATTATATTTATTAGAAATTTCATAAACGGCTCCAAATTAATAATATAAATAAATAATACTAAATTAGCATATTTCAACAAATATATATAACAAAATATTGTAGAAATACACAGAAAATGAATAAGTTAATCAAAATTAGAGGTAAACAAACGGAAAACTGATTTAGTGAAATCAGTTACTTCTTCAATCAGTCTTGCTGATAAAAAATCCCCAAAATTCTTTGAGATGATAACTTATAGCAGAAATAAACTCACCAGAGCAGCAGCCGTCATCATGCAGTGAAAAAGAGCCGCAGCATAAACTCCCTGCAGAGACATGATTTATTTTAAAACGGCCTCAGAAAGAGAAACGCACAACTTTCCCCTCTGACGACGCGCCTCTCCTCAGGTTCACTGCCCACTTCAACTTCTGCAGGTCTGTTGTTCTCTTGTGTCCCATCAGAGCTCACATTTTGTTAATAAGTCCAAAACAAAAAGTTTTTTTTTTTCTTGACATGCAGGAACAAGTTTTTTAAAACATAAAAATATTATTTTCCTTTAATGTTTAGACATTTCAGCGGGACGCAGAGCCATCAGACAAGCGCAGAGGATGAAAGCTTCAGGTTTTCCGGCTCTCTGGACCGTCGGGCTGAGATGGGTTGGCCTTTATTGGCTGAGGTTTTAACCCTTTCCGCTCCTCCTCCTCCTCCTCTCCTGTCATCTGTCTCTGGTTGCCTCTCGCCTGCTTGAACTCTGCTTTCCAAACCAGGCAGTGGAGTAATTATCTTTTTAACTGCCGCCACTCAATTTAACGTTCACATCACATAAAGTCTGGTTTACTACCACGCTGGTAAGTGCCCACATAATAACCCCTGGCCTTCAGCTCCCCTTACACACACATTTATACAGGTTTTACACAGAAAGCAGGTTTGATTTTTGATAAAACTTCATTATTCTCATATTTGTCCTACTTTTAGACGCCATATCATTTAATAAAAACAATAACATTTCCCCTCAGTGTTTGGAAACCAATGTTTTTTCAGGCCACAAACAGGTTTCACAGAGACTTTTGATGTTTACATATTAGATAAATGCTTATCTTCAGCGCTAACTTCTAACCTTCTGACACTTGCAGAGACAGCAAAAGCACAAGTCGATGATTGGGTTTGGATTCTTTTTTTTTTGTTTCCCACACGTTTTCTGAATCAATAAATTGCTAAAAGTAAAGAGGAAAGCATGAATAAACGTTTTTACACGTGTATCTGCAACGCAAAGTAGCTTACTGACCTGAATTAAATGAGAAATCAGCACCATTTCATAAACTTTGTTCCTAATTTTTTACTTTTTTAGACAACTATTCAGTTTGGTTTTGGATGTTGTGCTCTTATTGTTTTCTTTGGGAAAAAAAAAAAAAACAACTCGCTGTGGCTAATTAGCATCTAATTAGCATCTCAAAATCTCAATTAATACCTGACCTATGACCCCAAATTTCAGATGCTTCATGGATGCAGAGGAAAGAGCGGAGAAAGGAGGAGGAAGTTCAAAACATCTCTACCTTCCATCATGATGGGCAAAGATCATTTCCCCGACTCCAAGAGGAGCGGCAGAAGCAAACGAGGTGGGTTAGCAGAGCTTCCTAAAAGCTGATGATGTCATCCAGGACATGTTACTGCTGAAGAGATACTGAGCTGTTAGCTTCCCGTGACAGCCATAACAGTGTAATACAACAGTCTTAAGTCAGAGGCTTATTCAGGTTCGTTGTGACACTGACTGCTATAGGAGATTCTTCCATATAAATTGGATAAAAAGACACAACCATTTTCTCACAGTGTGGCTTTAAATCAAACCAGGTTTCTCCTCTTTTAGGTCAGTTGGGATTCACAAATTATTTCTGTTTAGTAAATATCACACTAACTAGAGAACTAATGTTTTCAAGATCTTTGCAAAGCATTTTAAATTTATACATTTCCACACATCACTGCAGAATTTGGTGGAACAGATTTTTAAACTGATAAACTTGGATCAAATGTTTTCTTGTTCAAACTTCAGATTAAAATCAGGGATTTATGATGTCCACTGCAAGACTTTATCCTGAATCCACTTTGTTTTTTTTATTATAATTATTATTCTTTAAAGCTGCCGTAAATAACTTTAAAAGAAAATATTTTGCCTAGATATTTGTTCAAACTGTTACTGTGTTGTGACAGTACAGCATGAGAGGAAATCCAGCTCCTCTGATTCTCCCACAGAGGAACTAGAAACAACCAATCAGAGCCAGGGGGCGGGTTTTAACACTGTCAATCACAATCTTGCCCTCCTATCAAGAGTCAACAAATCCTAACCAGAGCTAAGGCTAGTTAGCATGGCCACTGATGTAGCGGTAAGTTATTTTTCCACCAGCGAGTACATGAGGATGATAGACAGCGCTAAGAACCTCCTCCAGGTTCTGACCGGTTGTTTTTGACAGGGAGAAAACCGCAGTAGCAGCAGTCGGACAAGGGGCTAGATTTTTTATAAATTATCTGTCTTGTAACAAACTGTCACAACATGAGTTTTAGTGAAAACACCTTTTTGTAAAAGTTGCATACTGCAGCTTTAAGCCTCTTTGTTTTTATACTATTAATTATTATCCTTAAGCTAATTTGTGCCTCATGTGGCTGAAGGTATATTGTCCGTTTCTGCTGATGTCTTGAAATGTTGCTTCAGTTTTTCACATGATGTTCTTTCCTCATTACTCCAACTTGCCCCACAGCATGATGCTGCCTCCCCAACACTTCACAGCTTCCACTGACTTACTCTAAATGTATCAACTGACATGATGATCAAACATTAAATGTAGATTTCATCAGACCAACTGTAATCTGCTGTTAGAGCAGTGGCTTCTTCCCTTCTGCGTGGTTGTTCAGCCCATTCAGCACAGAATACGACGACATCGTCCTCCCAGCGTCAGCCGGAGTATTCGCCAGCTTTGATTCGTTTTGTAAGTGGTTGTTCACAGATTTCACAGAGAAACGTGTTTTTCTCTGGGAGCTGGCAGAACCTGCCTCCTTCCTCGGTTTTATGGTGGCCGGACATCCTCACGGTGTTGCACTCCTGGGTAATTACTTCAGCAGATGAACGAGGAGCTTTCAGGCATCTGGAAAGTGTCCAAAGATGAAGCAGACGAGTGGAGATGCTGCCTGGTTTCTGAGGACATTCTTCATCTGCTGACACTTTTATTACAGCGACTAATACTATTACTACTACTACTACTACTACTAATACTGCTACTACTACTACAAATCTATTACTATTACTACCATTGCTAATGATACTGTTATTATTACAATTGAAACTACACCATTACTAAAATCTTTACTGTTATTCAGACAATAAATTGATTAGTAATATTTATATGAATTAGCATTACTACTAGTAACTATTACTATATAACTATTAGTACCACCAATAATGCAACTACTGTTACTATTATAAGTTCCACTACAATTAGTAACAACTGTAAATGTTGTTACAAATACTATTATTTGTACTATTACGAGTACTGCTGTTACTACCCCTACTATTATTATTGCTAATAATTTAACTATGATTAGTTCTGCTATAATAATTGTTGCTATTGATATTATTACTGTTGTATTAGTGCTCAAATTACTACTACTAGTAGTAAAAATAAGGGATTGTATTTTGATTCCTCTGCTTCATGTTTATAACCGTTTACATTATTATTATTGTTAATATCACCATTAATAATTTTTTTACTCTTCAATTTCTAAATAGTATCTCAAAAGTCCTGTTCATAAAAGCCCATCTAATCAAATGAATTTAATGAATGATAAAAAAAACTAAATTAATTAAATATTTATTTATTTCAAATAAGTAAAGTATAAAAATAAGGTAAAGAAAATACAAAATATATATCTTAACAATAATCAAAACACGAAAAACCTTCCATATACAGTTTGTAAAAGAGTAGGAAGAAGATGAAGCTTAATAAATCCTACCCCCAATTTTCTCATCCAAATATTTCCCATTTTATACATATTTACATTTTTGACATGTCACAGTTTCTAGTCTTTCCAAATTATATTATGAAATCTACACCACGTTGACAGCTACTTTCATCTTTAACAATAATTTTTTTTCCTCTTCTATATTATCCATTATATATGTAACAGAAAGGTTTTGCTTCGTGTTTTATAAAAATCCGGGTTTTTTTCTTTTTGTTTGTTCGTTTTAACGCTACTTTTACTTTGACAGGTCAGTGTGTTACGTCACTGGAACCCCGGAAGAAGTGGCTCCGCAACAAGCGCAGCTGCGCTCCAGAGCTGTCATAGCTGTGAATCAGAAAACTTTGGGCAGTTTCATCTAGTATTTTAACTAAAACGGTTCATTGTAGTTGGCTGACTGATTCAGGGAGGCAGAGTTGCGGCTGTATGAAGGAAGTCCGCCCGCCTCCACATGTGCAGCGGGATTAGCGGACCTCCGCGCTCACTGTAGTTGTGGTTGTGTGGGTGTGAAGGGCATGCTGGGGCTCACTCTGCTCAGGGCTTTGCGGACCCAGCGCCCACCACGGCTGGTCGAGACGGCTCCGGTGCGGCGTGTCCCTTTATCGGCTTCACGATGGCTGTCCCCGCCGAGCTGGACGTGTCCCGTCCGCACGCTGCGGCTGAGCACCGCCTTCTGCGCAGGTCACAACAAGTGGTCAAAGGTCAAGCACATCAAGGGTCCGAAGGATGAGGCGAGAGGAAAAATGATCTCGAAGTTTGGGATGATGATAAGAATAGCTGTGAAGGGTGAGTTCAGGCTACCGTCATGTTTTTTTAATTCTTGTAATTGTAGCTATTTATTTTTAATTTGTTGTTAATCTGCAGAAGGTGGATCCAACCCGGAACTGAATATAAACTTGGCCAACTTAGTGGAACAATGCAGGAGCAAGAACATCCCCAAAGCATCCATAGATGCAGCAATCAAGAATGCAGTACGTACGCTCATAATTTCAATATTGGTGGTGATTGAGGTGGTAGACATGACACACACCCAGGGTGGCATGTCAGTGGGGGTGGCAGAATCACCTGCATCCTAGCTGAGTCTTCAGTTAAGTTTTCAGTTCGTTTATATAGCCACGTTGCATGTTATTGTTTAAATCTGGAAATATTACGCATGCGCACAGCGCTGGAAGGCAAAAAGGCTATTTTTTTACTCGCCATCTGATGCTAATGCCGCTGCAGAGCAACTCTGTTAAAATTAAATCTGGTTCTATGTACGCTACACACAAACTCAGCCATAGCAACTGACTGACAACAACAGCAACAACAGACAACTATTGTGTCAGGATTCAAATCAAAAAACATGCAAACATTTCCCACACAAGCCTGAAAACATATTTATGTTGCGATTATTAATAAGCAATCGTCTGAACACAGCAATGATTGATTAGCTAATTTAAACACCTGCTCTACTCACGATCTATTGGTGTGGGGGTCGTCTTTTTTTATTTTTTAACACACCGAATTCTGTAGCATATCTACATGCTAAGATTCTCAAAGTCAAGCTAGCATAAATGAGCTACTTTTATCTTCCTTGCTATTTTTTTTATTAAAACTTTATTTCAAAAGGGGCAATGCACTTTACAAAATATGCCAGAGTTGGCCATAAGGCCAGTTTTCATCTGTGATTCCTCTATAAATATAAACAAAATACATCGTAGTGCAATAAAGACAAGTTAACAAGCTCTTTATATCAAAAAAAGAGAATAATAATAATAATAATTAATAATTAATATAAAGTATTTTTAATCTAAAAAAGCATATCAGGTTATTTATTTAAAATTAATAAAACAAACAGTTTAGCACAATACAAACAATAAATAAAAAAAACTTTAGAATGAAAAATGTACGACTCATACATTTTTACACTTTCTGGTGTTTTATTCCAGAAGCTTTTTCTTAATTTTAATTGTGACAGAGTGCGTTATATATAATGTTTCACTAGGGCTGGATGACTTGGCGAAGAAACGAATCACGATATAAGCGTTTCCTTTCAGTTTCCTTTAAGCAGTTATGAGGCATAATGGAGAAAACTTAAACTGCTGCTGCGCCAGTTACTCAACAGATTGTTGCTAGGTAACCAAAGAACGAGCGAGTTGCTAGGTAACGAGTGAGCAAGTGAGTTAGTTAATGCCACTAACTTTGCGTTGTAGCATATTTATTTTATGTAAAAATAAGTATGATTTAATGCAGTTTTTGTTCTATTAGAAGGATGTTTGCATGTTTTGCTCTAATTTGGCTTTTTTCTGCCCCCAGGAAAAAGCCAAACCCGCCTCCCAGCACATGTTCGAGGCGCGGGGGCCCGGCGGCTGTGCGCTGCTCATCGAGACTCTAACTGACAACAACACACGGACCCACCAGGAGATCAAACGCCTGCTCACCAAGAAACGGTCAGAACCTCCCGCTGAGCCACCGCAGCGTTCTGTACCGGCTTCGTTTTCTGCTGGTTCTGTTCGTTAGGCTTTTACTCACACATCAAACCTTTTTTCTGTCATTTATTGAACATTTCTGTTATTGCAGAAAACGTGCTACAGTTTTTTTTAACAACTTTAGAAGATTATTTTCATTTCCTTTACTATTTTTCTCACTGTGTGGAATGATTCCAGTTATGAGCTTTTTAACTATTGTTCTGGTTGTAGATATGATCAGCTTTAACTGAAAATGCCATTTTTCTTGTGGACTTTTACTGATTTATGAAGAACAACCCACATTAGCTTTACTTAAATGTCATATTTTCTTCCCATTTTTAACAGAAGTTTGTGTTACATCATATTTATTCCCCACAGGATGTTTTTAATTTCTGTTCATAAGTTCCTAAGTCGACTTTAAAGCTTTAATATAAATAAAGTCACAGCAGGTTCTCCATATTTTTAGAACAATTTTCACCACATTGACATGTTATAGTATTTGCCACCATATCTGGATATTTTCTTTGTTGTGTTGTTAAAAGCTAAATAAAAACAAAATTTTTCATCCATTATGGATGTTGATAGATTGAAGGATGATATTTAATAACTCTCTGCTGTTTCCAATGATATAGTTGCATCAGTTTGAGAGGATGTGGAGAATATAAGTGAATAATTCAGGGAGAAAAACATCAAACAGATGCTGTTATATGTAATAAGGATAAACACCAAACTGTATTTAGGCGATAACAGTTCAGCTGTACGACGAATTGTTCCAGTAACGTGTGCGATAAACGATAATATTATCTTTTAGTGACAAGTAATAATATTGACATTAGTATAATAATGCAAGTGTGTACGGAAGAGGACGAGGGCCACTTTAAACAAAATCAACCACGACAAACAAAAACGAAAAATAAAACGGAAATAAAATAAAACGCGCACAACAAAAAACAATGAATAAGATGGATTATGATGTCTTTGTAAACAAAATTTCCTTTAAAAATTTTTATCAGGATGGAAAATGCCACTTTTCTTGCAGCCTTGTATTGATTTATGAAGATCGGTACACATTAGACTTAATTTCAGAGGATGCTGAAAACCTAAATGAGTCAAAGAAGACAAACACAACATTATGTCATATATTTGACAAACCTACTATATTGATTTTTCTCCACAGAACCGGTAACAGTCAGTAACTCAGTATTTATTTAGAATTTTCCGATCAATAAAACTCTCAGTTTGTTGTTAACTTCTGATAAAAACAAAGTGTTTTCACTCTGTTGTCTTCAGAGGGACGCTGTCTGACGGAGCTCGTCACAACTTTATCCAGATGGGTGTGGTGACGGCGCCTGCTGAGGACGTCTCCGCAGAGAAAGCGCTGGAGATGGCCATCGAGGCCGGAGCTGAAGACGTCCAAGAAACCGAGGATGAGGAGGAGAAGCTCCAGCTGAAGGTCAGACTCCAATTACCTCAACCCAATACTCTCTAATGGGTTACCGATGGCATACACATGTACTGAACAACTACAGCATTTATATATCAACACATGCAAAATGTTTGTGTCTATTTAAACTGTGCTTTTTGTTGTTGTTGGAATATTATATTTGAGGCAAATAGTACAAACTGAAAAATACAAAGGTGCGAACACTGCCCTCTAGTGGACACAAACGGTAATTCAACCTGGAGGCTTTAGGAAATGGGTCAAATTACGCTGCAAAAACTCAAAATTCCAAGTATTTAAAGGCTTTTTTTCTAGTGCAAATATATTAGTACACTTGAAATGCAATAAAACTAACTTATAAGTAACTTTTCAGGAAAATATAGAAGCTTCTTTAAAGAAAATAATCCCTCAACGTTGATGAAAAAGTGCTAGTTCCACTAGCAAACCACTTCCTTGACAGTCAACTGGCACTTTGCCGTTACCTAGCAACGTTAGGCAAACCCAGCCCGTCACCTAGCAACCAAGTTTTACTTCCACTAGCAGATTATTTCACTTTATAGCAAAACATTTTCCCATATTATGCAATCAGGCTCCTGTTACTTGTTGAAAAGTTACCTGTAAGTTTTCAGGAACTTCACTAAGATATTCGCAGTAGAAACTAGATCAAAAATACTTGGTAAGATTTGCATCTTTTGCAGTATAATTTGTGATATTGAGTCTTTTGTAATATGACAATATTTTATTGTCATATTGTGACACATGATTTTTTTTGTTTTTTAAGTTTTAAATAGTTGGACAAAAAATAACAGGAATGTCCTGCAATTTACTGGAATTAAATTTTACATAACGGCCACATTCAAGCTTAGATCTTATAAAGTGAGAAAAATCTTCAGTTTTATATGTTCATAGCTTTCACAGTTAAGTAAAATTCTTCTAGGATTTTTTGTTTTTGTCTGATTTATGACCCAATGTGTCGCAACAATATGTCAAAATTAAAAATATAACTTAAAATTCACACATGTAACTTAAGATTGTGCTAAAAAAATTAAGCCAAATAGTGAAATAATTGGAAATATAAATGTTAGATCTGAATTTGCCAAAAACAGTCAAACCCTAGAGTAGAGGTCTTCAACCTGCAGGTTTGTTTGAACTCCCACAGCAACTAAATACTTTTCATTAAAAGTAATGATAATGAAAAATATGCGTGTGTGCTAAAATACGCATATATAAATGCATATTTTAGCACTTTTTGATATTTTGACAGAATAATTGCATTAAATTGTTACGATGGAATGACATTAGAAGCACCAACAATATTTTTTTAGGTTGATTTTCCTTATCAGGTTTTAAACTTTGTGCTTTTTAACATTATTTTCCACAAATACCAACATTCATTATTAAAAAAAAATTATCCAATCTCTTTTTGCAAAAGGTTAAGTGTTTCTTTATCTTAAAACTTCCTATAGTGGATATTTATCAATATTTCACTGACCTTTCACTTTTTGTGAAAGGTCAGGTAAATTAGTTTTATTTCTCTGGAAAATGTCTGTGCATTGTAAAGGTTGCACCCCAGCCCTGGAGGGTTGCATGACGTTTGTTTCCAGTATTTATACTGTAATCTATTTCAGAAAGATAAACGTTTCCCGGTCTCAGTAAGACGGTAACATCTGGCTGTGCGTGTCTCTCTGCAGTTTGTCTGTGCGGTGTCAGACCTGAACAAGGTGCGCGGCTCCCTGGAGGGGCTGGGATTACACATCACATCTGCAGGCTTGGAGTTCGTCACTCGCAATCACTCCTGCCTGGATCAGGAGCAGATGGAAGCTGCTTCCTCTCTCATAGAGGCCCTCACTGACCTCCCAGATGTAGTGAGAGTGTGGGACAATATCCAGGCCGACAGCTGAGACGATCGGAGCGACGCTGCATATTTGGAGCGACCCGAAGATTTGCCATCTGATAGCTTTTATAAGAGCTGGAAACTGGGCATGTTGTGGCAGAGAAGAGACGCTGTTGGATGTTTTACCTGTGGAGAAAAAAAACATTAAAAGAATCAAAATGTGGTTGCCATTAAGAGAGAATTGTTTTCCATCCAGCTCTGATGAAGAGCAGTTTTAGTTGGAAAAGTGTCAAAGTAGCAGATTTAAAGGAAAACGTTTCCATTATATTTAGAAAACACATTTTGCTCTCCATAATTCAAAACCTATCAACTGGTTTTCAGTCCCAGACTTATTATGCTTCCTTGAACATAAAGAATATGTCTACAGGCGACAGCAGGGGTGTTCAAAATGCGGCCTGGGGGCCATCTGTGGCCCTCTGGAGGACTTTCAGTGGCCGACCTCAATTCTAGAATTGAGCCAAGCAGTCGGTTGCTGCAGATGGACATTTTTTCATCTTTTACAGATAACATATTTAAGAAACATATTAGGTGGAAAAAAATAGGTTCCTATTTATTACTTGCTTTCAGTCCAAAGCAAATCCTGCAGCCCAAGTCAGAAACCAATCAACCCTAAAAAATGTAGGAATTGGATCTTTTTTATGTTTTGCATCTGCAATGATTTACTGATCTGTTTTCTACAAAAATCAGGCTAGTTTCAGTTCAATAAATCCATTTAATTTTTTTTTGTTACTATTGAGCACATAAGATAAAAAAAGGCACAAAAGTTTGCTTTAAAAATCCCCCCATGTGCTGTTAACTTAAACATTTTGACACAAACCCAAATACAGCAAAGTTCCTAGTGCGTAAACTACCTTGAAGGTGACCTGCTATCTTTTCTTGAACAGGTTAGGATATAAATAAATCATTGCTTTACTGCAGAGAATCATTGTTAGATCATCAGATTTCAGTCTGCTCAGTTCTGCCTATTTTGAGCTGTTTTAGAGCATCCTGTCACTTTAAACCCAAATAAACTGCTGCTGGCCACGCCCCCAAACTCAACTTTTACACTCACTTGAAAATGGCTCCAAACAGATGCACAGTTATGAAACTGTACATCTGTGAAAAGTAGAAGTGGATCCCGCTGCACAGCCAACAAGAATGCAGCAAGTCGTTTCTGGATGGTAAGTGAACAACAAAGCAGGCATCTTTTCCAGCAGCCATTGTAAAGCAGTAAAACCAGCTGACCAAACGCACTGCAGTTCAGCGTGGGTTGCTAGGCAACAGATATCCATCCATCAAAAGAGATGGATATCTTTCCATCTCTTTTGATGGAAATATATCAAAAGAGATATCTTTTGAGATATCAAAAGATCTCTCATTCATATCTTTTGAATGAGATAAAAAGCAACAGCGTTGGAAGTGGTTTCTTTCTGCTTGTTTATCCACAAGGCAGCCATATTGGATTTTAACTTTCAGTTTTTGGGGTTCCTTCAATTGTGAAACAAAAACTTGATGTATGACACAAAAGCATAATGTGATACAAAATAAAAATGTTCTGTGGAACGTTCCTCCATTTACATGAGATATATAAACTCCTAAAGTAGTTCATGTTGATAAAATTCATTTTACTACCACTGATGCTGAAGGGTACAGCTGAAGGACACTTTAGGATAACATCATGGATCATTACATACTGCCATACTGTCGGTCAATAGCATCCCACATAAACAACATGCATGCAACAAATTCAAATGGAGCAATACATTACAACCAAGCTTCTCTTCATGTTTTTCCAACACTGAATCGCAAATAATAAAACTTTTTCTCCCAACTCAAACTCCCTCCAAGACCGTCGCCATGCTGACGTGATGCTAAAAACCCAGTGACTGTCTCCCCTTCGCTTTGTTATCAATGCCCATTATTGATCTTCCCGTCGTTTCCTGTCGGCTATAGTGTGGCATCGATTGGCTTCCAATGTTGGTGTGCTGCAGGGCAGTCCTGCGCTCTGAGCCAGCCAGGCTGGGAGGTCCGACATCGACAACAGCAGTCACCCAGCGCTAGCAGGAAGAGCGCTAGTTTCGCCCAAACATGGATCCAGAACAAGACACTTTGGAGCGCGACGAAGGATCCTACCAGTGATTGTTAAAACAGTCTAAGTTTCTGGATCAAATCAGGTTTGTTCTACTTACTTTTATACCTTTAATGATTTGATGAGCTAGTCAGATATTTTTTTTTTACCACCCAACAAGTACCATTGGTTTTTGCCCAAGTGTTACTATTAACTGTGTAAGAAAAGTATATTAAAAATAAGTACAGCCCCAGTGCAATTAGATTACAAACTCTTATGTAAACATTACAGTGAATAATAAAAAGGTACAAACTAAGAGTTAAGGCTCATACATTTTCCCCACTCTAAAATTCAAGCACTTTTCAATCATTTTTAGGTACGTTTTCAAACTTTTATAGTCCAACAAGTTTAAATCTCTTGTGATAGTATTGTACAGAAGGGCCAAGGTAAACTAAAATATGACAGTTTTAAGGTTTCAAATAGGGCTAGACAATAAATCAATAACATCACAATAGACATGTGATCAGTATCAATATGTCTGATAAAATATCCAATATTCATTATAATCACTGAAAGAGGAAAGACTTTAGCCGTTCACAGGTGGTTGGTAGAACAGACTACCTGACTCACTCTTTGGTTACCTAGCAACTCATTCACTCTTTGGTTGCCTAGCAACAGCTTATAGAGTGACTTGTAGCAGTTTCAAGTTTTGCCACTTTGCCTCATAAGTGCTTAAAAATTAAAAAAACAACAGCATTGAGTGAAAACTGTGAATAAAATAGAAAAGGTCACAACCAAATTGACGTTATTTCAGATATTTAAAACAAAAACCTAATCAATAATTATTGATATTGACCGATAGGAAAAGCTTGTATATGTTTTTCAGCCATATGTCGTCCAGCTCGATTGACTGGTCTGAGAACAAAACACCAATTTAAATAATGTTGTTTAACCTATTAAATTTTAACCCAACATTAATTTCAATTACACAAATCAACAAGTCACTGAGAAATTAGGACAAATAAACACCCAAACAAATCATGTTAAATTACCTTCCTGCTCAAATTAAAATTAAATCTCTAAAAAATGTTCTTGCTAATTTGCCAGTTTGCCAATTCTAGCTGATGTAAAATAAGAAAAGTTTAGTCTGATTTAACTTCAGATAGTGAGAAAAAAAAAGTTTTTTTGATAGGTGTATGAAAACATCTGGTTTCAACTGCAAATACCATTTTCCAAATTTAGGCTTCTAAGCAAGCATCAGATTGCAGTTTATTACCAAACTGTGCAGTTTGAATATCAAGCACTTTCCAAAAACCTAACTGAAATTACAGGGCTTCCTGCAGTGGTACGAACCCTGAAGGTTAAACTACGCATCGTTCCTCCAGGTGAGGTTTGGGTTTGGCCCCATGAAGGGCGAGGATCCAGCCGTCAGGATGGAGCTGCTCAGCCCGCCGCAGGCAAAGGAACGGGCTCAGAACGTTACAGAGAAGGTCACGCAGGTACGGCCAGAACCAGAACCGCATCAAGGCTCGAATGCCGTCCAGTCTTAGGGTTTTGAATATTTATTTCTCTTTAAATCTGGATTTTGTTTTTCCAATGAACTCCTTGGGTTTCCATAGTTCAAAGTTATGGCGGCCATCTTGTTTGACGAATTTTACAGCTTCTGTTTATCTGAACTTTGAATTCAGATCAACTCCACAACAAACTATGAGAGTCAGGCTAAGGTTGTTTTTTTTACAAGAATAAAGTCCCAATGTTACTAGAATACAATCGAAATAATACTAGAATAAAGTCTTAATATCAACAGAATAAAGTCGTGATATTAGGAGAATGAAGTAATTTTATGAGAACTACAACAGGTTGTTAGTGCCATATTAAGGAAAAATAAAAAAATTAAATAAAATTACAAGAATAAAGTCCTAAATTATGAGATAAAACCTGTAAGGGAATAAAGTCAACATATTAAAAAATTAAAGTTGCATGTGAATAAAATCGAAATAATTCAAGAATAAAGTGAAAGTATTACAAGACATCATAATATTAACATTTCGACTTTTATGATTTTGTTCTCGTAATTACATTTTTCTTATTTTCTTGGCATGGCCCTAATATTCTGTCATATAAAATGTAAAACAACAAAAGATTTCTCAGTATAACAAAAACAAAAAATCTCGTAGTCTGGCAGTAAGATCCTGATGTACAACTCCATAAAAGCCACTTTTTGATTTTTTTTTTTTTTTTTTTTAAAAAAAAACGCAAGAAAAAAAAAAGTTAAATCAGATTTGGTATTAAAAGAAAAAACAGATTTTATTTTTAAGCCGTATCGCTCAGCCCTGCTGTTGTCTAGAGGACATTTATTCAGATTGATGAAACTCACCAACCAGCTAAATTGGTGATGAAACAAATTCAAATTTAAAAACACTTTATTAATCCCAAAGGGGACTTCATATTATCAATCATTACAATTAAGAATAATTACTTAATTATTATTGTTTAATATTAATTAAATATTGTTTTCTTAGTAATTAAATAATAAAGAACCCTCTAACTTTAAACATCCAGAGCAATGTTTTGTGAATCCTGGTTTTGTTGCAGAGCCTGGAAATGCTCTCTGAATTAATGAATTCACTCAGTCACCAGTAAAATTCATCCATCTGTCTGTGACTTCACCGGGTTCGGTGTTAGAGGAGAACCAACGTCCCAACTCTGCTGCCATGATGGAAAGCTACTGCTAATTAACCCTCTAATGGAAAAATCAGTGGGCGGCTGATGAAGATGCATCGTGTGGCAGTTCAATTGAGAGCTGCAGTTGTTACCAGCGCAGCCCTCAGGCTCCCGGTTCTGCACCACTGGACGGTAAACAAACGGCAAACATTGAGCGAGCACCGACCTGTGACCTTCCAGCTCCTGTCTGTGGGATGATCTATCTGTGCAATAGTATGGATTCATATGGCTAACAGATATGTCAGGAAGGTCAGGGGTATTTTTCAAGAAGGTTCGTTTGAAATTAGGCGAGTCAATAGCAACAGCACTGACAGGGGAACGAAATTAACTCGGTGCAACATCCAGTTCATCATTTCAGCCCCGCAGATGGTCAGTCAGCCTGGACAACATTAATCACAGCAGACATGTTCTTCAAAACGTAGTCTCTGTGACGTCTTAATAAAATAACAGAAATGTCTTCTAGAAAAACCGGTTTGAGGCTCTGTTCAGCGAGAGACACGATGTTAGGGCTTAGAAATAAAATCTGATCATTTCACATCAGATCAAGTTTCAAATTTCAATCAATTTTCACTTTCTTTTCTAAAAAAAAAAGAAATAAAAATGACAGAAAATATTTTAAAAAATGGCTTATTTGAAACATTCATTCATTAGCTTTATTACAAGAGTATCATAAGATTAGCAGAATATAGACAACATTTTACCAGAAAAATGTCTTAAAATTAATAGAAAAAAGTTATTTTAATGAGAAATAAGCTTGGATTGCTTCAAAGTCAGTTTATTTTTTTATTCTTCTCGTTGGCATACTCACTAAATTACTTATTTATTCTCCTAATGTCACAACTTTATTCTTGCATTATTTTGACTCTCTTGTTGTACAACTGAAGTCTTGTAATATTATGATTTTATTCTTGTCATTAAATAAAAAATAAATCTTTCTCTAGCCCTAATACTTTGCTATATGGTTGATATGAAGTTAAACAATTCTTTTAAAATTCAAATTTTCCAAAAAAGAAAGCTTCAGAAACCAAAATTCAGATTAATTGATAGAATCGATTTATCGCCCGGCCTTAGGTCAAAATATTTTACACGTGGAAGAAATTACTAAAAAGTGCTTATAGGTTAGGAAAAACATGACACCGTATTAGGGTCATTGTTGACAGGAGGTTCCATTAAAAAAATTTAAATTTTGATATTGATCTCAAAAATGTTCAATTTTGATTTTTTTTTTTTTTAGCTTTAACAGTCAAAGATTTTTTTTACCTTCAGCTCTGAGAAATTTCCAAGTATTTTCTAAAAAAATTTAAAAGATTAATCTCAACATTTCTGATTTTTTTTTTCTTACAAATTTCCACGGTTTTTTTTTCTAGAAAAATTTCTAAGAGTTTCTGAGATTTTTGGCAGAGTTTTACTCCTGTACTTTCCATGTGTGGTGTCCATTCGGTCATGGGATAACGGGCCGCTGTCCGCCTGCAGGTGCTTTCTTTGGAGTCGGACGTTCTGCCAGAATACAAACTCCAGGTTCCAGAAACAACATGGTGGATCCTGCTCCATTACAGCCCCTTCAAGGCCTTTTGGGACTGGATCATTCTGCTGCTGGTCCTCTACACGGCCGTTTTCACCCCGTACTCAGCCGCCTTCCTGCTGGACGAACACGTCAACCCGCGGCAAAGACGATGCGGCTACACGTGTAACCCTCTGAACGTGGCCGACCTCATGGTGGACGTGCTCTTCATCGTGGACATAATCATCAACTTCCGCACCACGTATGTGGACCACAATGACGTCGTCGTCACGCAGCCGAGCCGGGTAGCCACGCATTACATCAAGGGCTGGTTTCCGATTGACATGCTAGCAGCGACGCCCTTTGACCTTCTCATTTTCAGATCTGGGTCTGATGAGGTGAACATTTCTTTGCTACAATCTGTTGTGTTGCACCAAAGCTGTAGTGTGATAGTTTTCATATTTGTAATTCTTAGAGGTTTTGTGCCTTTTTCTGGTCATATTATCTCTCTTCATTGGTCCATCTGGGTCAATCAGCAGAAGGAAAAACTGAACTATGACGTCAGTATTCGGCAGTCTGCAATTTTCTGATGCGACCAAAAAAAGTCACTACAGAAATACAAACTCTTACCAAGTAATTTTGGTCTAATTTTGAGTGCAAATATCTTAGAATACTTTAAACAGGACAAAACTAACTTATAAAACATTTTCAGCAAGATACAGAATCTTGTTTTAAGTAAATAATTACTCATTATTGGTGAAAAAGTTCTAGTCCCACTGGCAGATTAATTTCCTTGTAACAGGGGAAAATGTCTTGTTATAAGTGATATAATCTGCTAGTAAATTTAGTACTTTTTCATCAATATTAAGTTGTTGGCTTAAAACAAGGTCCTATATCTTGCTGAAAGGTAACTTATAAATTAGTAAGTTAATACTTGGTGATATTTTATATTTTTGCAGTGAACGAACTCTGGTTCGCCTATAAACTTCGGTCTTGGTTTGGTTAAAGTGAGCTCTGGTGCGCTTTGAATGCGTATGTGAATGCCAAGCGGACTGGAGACTGCTTCAAAAGCAGGAAGCGGACTACATCACAGGGCATTCTGGGTAAAAACAACCAAAACAAACCAAAGAACAAAGAGAAATCCTACAACCGCCATTTTTGTTTACACTTTAGCCAAGGAAGAAGAAAGTTGCTTCAGTTTTTTTTTTTTTGTCATTTTCTTCAGTGGTTCTTCGTGCAGTGCCACCACAGGCAAGGAGAGGAACAGGTTTTTCAATTGTTTTGGTTATTTTGACAATGCAATGCGAAAGCAAACCAGACTATAATATTGCAATTTATTGGTGTGAAAACACCCTTAGATTAAGCACTACTTTGTGTCTGTTATGTAAAATCCCCAAAAAACACACCAAGAGTTCAAGAGGTAGGAGTACTTTCCCAAGTGATTGTATTTTAATTCTGATTGTCTAATTTTGCATGACATTTTTCTCTCCTGTTGCCCATGGAAACCAAAGATGGCAACCTTAACCAGCCTGCTCAAAACGGCTCGGCTGCTGCGGCTGGTCCGCGTGGCCCGAAAGCTGGACCGGTACTCCGAATACGGCGCCGCCGTCCTCTTCTTGCTCATGTGCACCTTTGTGCTCATCGCCCACTGGCTCGCCTGCATCTGGTACGCCATCGGCTTCGTGGAGAGGCCGTACACGGAGACCGGCTGGCTGGACAACCTGGCTGAACAGCTGGGGAAGGCGTACAACGAAAGCGACTCCACCTCTGGGCCATCGGTGAAGGACAAATACGTGACGGCTCTGTACTTCACCCTGAGCAGTTTGACGAGCGTCGGGTTTGGGAACGTCTCGCCAAACACAAACTCCGAGAAGATTTTCTCCATCTGCGTCATGGTCATCGGCTGTGAGTTAGATTCAAAGAACACAAAAAGCTACGACCAAGCATTAATGTTTTTTCTTAAATTATGAGAACAAAGTCATAATAGTATTTGATAATTCTGATATTATCAAATATGTTGATACGATAAAGTTGTAACATTCGGAGAAGTTGTGCAGAATAAAGTCAAAACAATGAGAATAAACTCCTAATAATGTGAATAAGGTCACAATATTTTCAGATATCATAATCTTACCAGAATAACTTTGTAATATTATGACTTTATTCTGGTGTTATTTGATAATCTCATATTATCAATAGTGATACAAGATTATCACATTTTCTAATATGATAATACGAAATATGACTTTATTAATGTAATACTACGACCTTATTGTAGTATAATTAAAATTTTATTCTTACAATGTTTTATTTTGTATTTAGCGTAGCTCAAAAACTCTGTTTTAAAGCTACTTAAAGATACGATAATAAACTTAAGATTGTCCATTTCAGGGCTACAACTAATAATTATTTTAATAAACCGATCAATCATATTTGATTCACGTAGGTTTTCTAGTTATAATTGCTTATTTTCTCCTCTTTTTTAATCCGTCGCAGCCCTCATGTATGCCAGCATATTCGGAAACGTGTCGGCGATCATCCAGAGGCTTTACTCTGGCACGACTCGCTACCACACCCAAATGCTGCGGGTCAAAGAGTTCATCCGCTTCCACCAGATTCCTGGCAGCCTGCGCCAACGGCTGGAGGAGTACTTCCAGCACGCCTGGTCTTACACCAACGGCATAGACATGAATGCTGTGAGTAAAGCAAAGGTGTGTCCTCCATTAGCTGCTCTGTCAGGTATCAACGAGTTACATTTAATCTCTGATTTGAGGATGGGTTTGTTTTGCTCCTTTTAAAGGTGTTGAAGGGGTTTCCAGAGTCGCTGCAGGCAGACATCTGCTTGCACCTCAATCGCTCTCTGCTGCAGAACTGCAAGGCTTTCCATGGAGGCAGTCAAGCCTGTCTGCGGACGTTAGCTACGAGGATCAAGACGGTCCACGCTCCTCCAGGGGACACGCTCATCCACTGTGGAGACTTCCTGGACTCCCTCTTCTTCATCTCCCGTGGCTCCATCCAAGTCATGAGGGATTACGTTGTTGTGGGTTTATTAGGTACAGGTAGCTGTGTTTCTATTGGCCCCTTTGCACGTGATGTCACAAATGCGCTAGCAAATCCTAGCAAATCCTAGCAAATGCTACTTATTGAAAGACAAGTTTTTTCAAAATTGACCTGCTTCCATGAAGCAAATGGAAACAGCTAGCGTTGTAGTACTCGATACCGGTCTTGGTCTCGATACCGGTCTTGATACTGGTCTTGGTCTCGATACCGGTCTTGGTCTTGATACCGGTCTTGGTCTCGAACCCTAAAAGTCTTGGTCTCGTCTCGATGGTCTTGGTCTTGACTTGGTCTCGGGTTTGGTGGTCTTTACTACAACTCTGGAAACAGCAGCTACTGTTTGACCATAGTTGCTGTTTCAAATGTAAAAATATTTTGACTTTTGAAGCTCAAAAATTTCCACATTTTTTGCGAAAAATGTCTTTAAATTTATCTCAGTATTTCAGAGTTTTTTTAGTTGTTGTCAGAAATGTACTTTTTAATATCTACAATGGCCCAAACTGTTAGGATTTGGGTTTTCTGTGTTTATTTTTGGGTATTTCCTGTGTTTATTGTGATTCTGTTCCCTGTGAGTCTCTGTGTTGTCCTGTCTGCTCCCTAATTGTTTCCCAGGTGTGCCTAGTTCCCCTAATTACTCCTTGTGTATTTAAGCCCACCTGTTGTCTCTGTCCTTTGTCAGATCCTTGTCAGTTGTCTTCTTATGTCTGTAGTCAGTAGTTCTCAGTTGAACTGGATAGTCCTGAGGCTACCTTGCTCTATGTTCAGTCTTTTGTCAGTTGCTACCGGTATTTAGCTGTGTGCTATTGTCTCTGCCATGCTGCCTGATCTAGACTGATTCATTATTAAATTCATCATCTTCATCACAACCTGGGTCATCATCGTTCTCACCACCACAAACCACAACTCATGACACAAACACAATCGTAGGATTCAACACGTTCGAATGATACACAACTTTAATGAAATGTGTGATGCTGTGAGAGCCAGCTGCACGTTGCCTGGAAAAAGACAAAAACAAACATCATCCTCCTACTACTTCCTGTCATCTGTCGTTTTTCGCCTGTAGTAACATCCAGCTGTTGATCATGTGATTCGGAAAAAGTGTTTCCATTGCAATTTTCTTATTGAAAAACATTCACTTTTTTAAAAGATTGTCATGTTTCTATTTAGTAAATTTATTTTTGTTATTTCAATTTGTACAACTCTAATGTTAATGGAAATGCAGCTTTTGGTGTTGGCGTGAAAAATAGTTCATTCTTTTTTTTATTCCCTGTAGAAAAGAACGATATATTCGGGGAGCCCATCCACCTGTACGACGAACCGGGTCGGTCCAATGCGGACGTGTGCACCATCACCTACTGCGACCTGCACCGCATCCCCAGGGAAGACCTGCTAGATGTGCTTGACATGTACCCGAGCTTCGCCGACAACTTCTGGAGGAACCTGGAGATCACCTACGACCTGCGAGACGTGCGTTGGAGAATCTCCGCAAAGAAACGATTCGATGCAACTTTGTTTAAAAAAACAAAACAAGAAATGAAAACAAAAGATTACAGATTACAACTACCATCTCCACCGCAAAAAACACAAACCGTACCAAGTTCTGTTGGTCTAGTTTGGTCACTCGCTCTTTGGTTACCTAGCAACTCACTCACTCTTTGGTTACCTAGCAACTCACTCGCTCTTTGGTTACCTAGCAACAACCTGTTGAGTAACTTGTGCAGTCGCCATTTAAGATTTCTTAACTGAGCCTCATAATTACTTAAAAATCCATATCAGCAGCATGGAGTGAAAACTGGATAAAATGGAAACTTTGGCAGTATTTCAGATATTTAAATAAAAAGACTAATCAATAATTATCAATATCGACGGATATGAAATGCTTATTTCGTGATACTTTTTTCCAGCTATGTTGACTAGCATTACTTTAAACCCCTCCGCCCCGAAAACTGGCTGAAAAGTACACTGAATACCAATACATAAAACACTTTTTCCTAGAATATGAATCGTTTTCCTTTCATTTCATAAAGATGCATCATTTGTTTTCATCTTTCCCTCCAAAAAGCCCACTGAGAAAAAGTCGAGGCATATCAGACATTTTGAAAGCTCCTGTACGTTATGGCTGAATATTAAATGTGATTTTTGATCTTCAGACTGATCAAATGGCGCCAGTAATAACCAATGAATCTGGGGATGACGGTGAATATCGGCACAAAGCGCGGCACCGAGTCCACCCCCTGCACTGCAGAATAAGACCAGGTAGGAAACGAGGCTTTAAATCCGACTCTAATCACGTTTAGGCAGGTTTACGTCATCCGGAGATTTTCCTTTGAGCAGATGGAATCGACCACGAAGACTCGTTCCCCCACCAGTCCTGCCACTGTTCGCCGCCTCAGGACGGCTGGGACGACGTCTGGAGCTCCTCCTGTTCCCAGTCCAGCGAGGATCTGGCAAAGCCCCCCACTCACACCACCAGACCGGGCCCCTTCCCCACCGACGACCTCAGACCGGGCCCCTTCCCCACCGACGACCCCAGACCGGGCCCCTTCCCCACCGACGACCCCAGACCGGGCCCCTTCCCCACCGACGACCACAGACCGGGCCCCTTCCCCACTGTGGCCCCACAGCTGCCCCAGAGCGGCGCCTCGGTGGGGAGGGATGCGGCGCTGAACAAGGGCCACCAAGGTAGAGACAAGTCTTGCGTTACGTTGCATTATCGACGTAAAGCAACCGATAAAATCAGTTTCACTGCAGTAACGTGAAATTCCTTCAGATCAACCTTCCTGGACGCCCTTTTTATTTTATTTCATTTTAACTTTCTTGTCTTGTTTTTTATGGAACCTACACACAGTTCGGTCAGGTTGTTATAGATATTCACTTTTTTCACTTCCGATACCGATACAGATATCGGAGGCTTAGTATCGGCTGATACCGATACAAAGAAAAACAGAAAAACATTTTGTTTCTCATATTCTGAACTACTAATGCATAACGCTTCACCAGTACGGCTCACGTGAATACATCGTCACAAGCTCGGTCAAACAAGAAAACTTTAATTTGCTCCTTCAGTAAACTGAGTACAACGCCGTATTTGGGCCATTGATATAAAGAAAGGAGCAAATTTTCACCAAGAAACGCCAGAAAAGGAATTTTCTAGAATTTTTTTTACATTTCTGAGTTTCAAAAGAGGAACGTTTTTGACTTTTTAAATTAAAAAATATCAAAATTTTCTAGAAAATTTCTGAGCGTCATATAAAAGTTTGAGTGCTTTGTCAGGAATGTACTTATATTGTAGATATTTTACAGTTTTCTACTGACGTTCTTATAAGTGTAGAGCAAACTGATTATTTTTATTTTTTCATTTTCCGGTGCTAAAATCCTGTATGATTTCTAATAGGTTAAGATATTTTTAAAAATGTATTTTAAACTCCTGCACCCATAAAAATGGCATATATTATGAAGTAATTAAACTTTTAGGTTTTTATTTTAGTAGCAGGGACTAAAAAATTGAGGAAAGGGGAATATTTGTTGTGTAGAGTGAGGATGACGTTATTAATGGCACTAATGGAAAAAATATGAAGAAACTTGTTGAAGTGTCTTATTTCTCAGGGAGGCAAATTTTTGTGGCCAACTGGAAACAGTTGGGGCAACAATTTACTAATGCTACTCCCATGGTAATAATCTTTACTCTGTGATTTCTTAGCTTCATCGCTGAATCTGCCGGGAATGTATCGATTCTGGCCAGATCAACAGCAGCTGTCCAATCAGGTTTTACGATCTTCTTCCACCGGAAACCCAAACCCAAACCCGGCTCTGATCCCAGAGGAAAGGCCCAGTGAGCTCGAGTCGCGACTCGAAGTCCTGCAGTCACAGCTCAACAGGTGTCTTCAGTATTCTCTGCTTCTTTGGCGTAAAGTATCCAAGAAGTGTTTTTACACGTTTTTTGTATTAAAACATCAGAGCTCTTTGAGATGATTGGTTAATGCATAGGAGCTTAACTCTGGATGGATGGATGGATGTGTGGATGGATGGAAGGGTGGGTGTGTGGATGGATGGATGGATGGATGGATGGATGGATGGATGGATGGATGGATGGATGGATGTGTGGATGGATGGAAGGGTGGGTGTGTGGATGGATGGATGGATGGATGGATGGATGGATGGATGGATGGATGGATGGATGGA